AAAAAAATTGAACAAACCAACCTGTATATAAAGAACCGACAGTATCACTTTCCAATACATCAAATTTTCCAAGGTCTTTTTGTCCACTCCTGCTGCCGAGGCCAAATTTCCCAGAGTGAGGGCTTAGGAGGAAAAGCAAGACGTTTTATTTCTGGTGCAGCGGTCGATAAAATCACTCGGCGAACCGAATAACAGGAAAAAAAGAACGAAATACATAAACGGGCGCGCGCGGACTCTATTATAAATGAGATCCACCTTAGGCAATAATACATTCAACTTGTAATCACATGTGGGGACTCACGCGAAGTAGCGCAGGCCCAACAAATTTATAGAGGCTGGAAAAGCGTCGGCGCCAGAGGTCAAGGCTGACCCTTCCGAAACAGAGCGTGGGTGCAGACACGCATACTTTATGCCAAAACAAAAGGGATAATTGTCGACCGAGAGAGAGACATGGTTTTATTTCAAAGTATTGGATTACGAGCACTAATTCGGAGCGCACGCGAGAACACAATTTTCATTTCTGGAACTGCAAGATGAAATAAACATACTTTAAAAATAGCTGCAGGCGAACAAAAGCTAATACCTGGCATAAAACTTTACTGTCTGCGGTTTCACTTATTAAAATCGGTCTTTAAAGTTAATAGCAGTGCCAATTTTGGCAACTCGGCAAGAGGATAATTGACCTTAAATTAGGCCCAATTTAGCAGTTTTTATCAAATTAGGTTTAAATGTTTAACTCAACGTGTATGGTTCAATGTATTTCATCAAATTATAATTATTGTAAAAATTCATTAATAATTATAAAGGAAATTAGAGAAATAGTCTAAAAGTATAAAATATTCCATTAGAAACTACAAAACAATAATTGATGATAAAAATGTATGTTACATTAAAATGATATGTAATATTCAAATTAATTGCCGGCATAAATTTCCCACAAGAATCACATCCAAATATTCCAATTTTATTAAAATAAAATCCGGCTTCCTCGGTGGAGATGAGCAACTTTATTGTTTCTGCATGGTACAGAAAATCCCTGCTCTACTAGTTTCGGTTGCGGGTTGCAACCCTAATTCATGAGCTGTTAAAAATGAAATAAGCTGACATTTAACCAATTTTAATTACATTTTGAAATTTTAGTTATATTTTTCACCAAAATTTCAAAGTATTGGGAAAAAGGTACACTGGAGAAATACTTTTTTAAGACTTTTTGCTAAAAAATTAATTTACCTTGGACATTTTCAAGTTAAAAATACAAGTTTTAAAATAATTTTTTACTACATTTACATTTTCATCGTGAAATTAATAACCGCGATTGTGAAATTTATTTTCTACTTGTTTTCGTAAATAGGATTGATACAGAGTTGCTCAAGTTTCGACAATTGAAACCTGTTGCTCGGACGGATCGCATTGATGTATGCATAGCTGTAAAATTGACAGGTGTGAGGAAGTTTTCACAAAAGCTGAAGAAGGATACAATTTCGCTCACGGTATAACGGCATTAATCAAACCGCGACTTGTCTACACAACTTCAATTAACATATGACATCTCCAACTTCACTTTTTCTGTGTTCAAATCTCGACTAGATGTATATTTTTGGGGTGGTGCAAAAAAATTGCAATCCGGCTGCTGTAAATGGATATTTTTAGAGACGCTTATTAAAAAGTTACGCCGCAGGCAATTTCAAGATAGGACTGGCAGTTTTATTTTTAGCAGTGCAAATTGCTTGTGCGCGGCGGAAAACCAGCTTTTTTTTCATTGCGAACCGATTTTACAACCGCCCGCCCATTCCTCTCTCTTCGCTCGCCAATCGAAATGCACACGTATATACTGGTCCTCGACAACTCGTGACTTGCAAAGCGATTTTATGAGCGAATAAATTATGTTACCTAATTTTATTCCCTTGCGTGACTTCCGCCGAAGCTTCTCATTGATTGATCGCGTGGTGTTGGCAGCCCAAAATAGACTCATTCGCCAACAAGACCGCGGCAAAATTTCTGCACTCCAACTTACACTGGATTTACTATTTTGCAACTGCCGCACCGAGCCAGAAATGTTTTTATACTGCAGCGAATCACGTGTGGTATTCGCGAGAATTTTGCGCACTTGTTACTCACCAAAAAACCCAAATCGGATTACAATGACTGAGTAATGGTTGACTTGTAACATTTTAAAAGTAAAATGCCACGATCGCGATAAGACGGTCTCGACTGCACTGTTTAAAAAAGCGGCTCAACGTTGGCGGGCAATTTACTCAAATCGGTAAAAAAAGGGCTTCTTTTATAACCTTGATGCATTGAAAGTGTTGATGATTAAATAATTATTGAAATAATGAATTGTATTAAATAACAAAAAAAAAGTGATTTTACAAACAAAAAAAACATTTAATGTATTTAATTTTTTGGTCGTGGTTGCTAATGCAGTTACTAAAAAAAAAATTAATAACTATTTCAACGTGCTCTATCAAAACATCTGTTTTTGCAGATATTAGTATCGATTTTTTTTTAATTAAAATGTTGTTTAATGCGGTTTATTGATAAAATTCCGAGCTTATTAATGTTACAAAACAGCTATTAAATTGTAATGGCTTAAAAAAAATCATTTATTACCCAAATTTTAACTTGCAAGTTCTCAAACGGAGTCGTTTTAAATTAGAAAGTCTTATAAATAGTCAATCTCCAAATTGTAAAGAAGTGAAATTAAATTAACGAAGATATTTGTTTTATTTATTTGTTTAATTAAACTGATTTTCATTGACAACAGGGCGCTTTGAAAGTGCTCATTTTAAATTTTTCCTCGTTCTTTTTTTTTGAATGTATTAAAAGAAAATAAAAATATGAATAAAAGATATTTGTGCATTTTCTGCGATATACAAATTTATAAAACCAAAATGTTTTAAGATGTAGTGAAGCAATTTGTGGAGCGTAGTAAGTCTTTTTCATCCAGTTCAATAAAACTCTTCGTGGATGTAGGAAAAAAAATTGAAACTCAACTAGACAAAAACATATCAACCAGTAATCACTCGAAGCAATCAAGTTTGGGCGAGTCGCTTTCTTTTTTAAGCCGCGACTCAGCGTAAAAATACACAATTTTTGGGCGCGGGGGGAGGCATCCGAAATAAAATAAATGGTGTGCACGTTATCTTAATGCAGGCCGCTTTAGTATGTGTCAAACTGATTCTAAACAGCCCCCACTCGCTCACTCTCCAGAATGGGCGCGCGCGATAAAATAAAACGAGGAGGCTTCTTTTTTTAAACGCGCCGCTATGAAAGAAGATGCGCAGTTTAAAACAGAAGCCGCGAGTCGAAAATAGCGTTAATGAGGGGGTGAGCGCGGCTATTTATAAAATCACGCTCTCTCGCGAGCCCGCCCGCCGCTGGCGCTGCATGCTTTTTAATTTTTCGGCGCCGCCTCCGTTTCGACGCCCCAACTTGGCGCTAATTGCGGCGGAATCGATAATTGGTGCGCTCTCTTGTAGAACGAGGATGGCGCGTTTATAAATAGTCTGCAACAGTCATCTCTTTCACTTGACAGCTTTTTCATCGGAATTGCGATCGATAACGGCCGCCGCTTTGCTTTTTTGCTGCAAATAAGCACAAACCGAATTATCCTGGAAATACGTGAATTTCCCTCAACAGGAAAGTCTAACTGATGCGGTTAAATAATAAATGAGTTTATAGGCATTACTTATAAAAGAGTCAGGCAATTAATTGTTTGATTATTACTGCTTATTTATTATTTTATCATTGTTTTATTTGCATTTTTGTTTATAAGCAGACTTTGCAATGTTGAGTACTTTTGATCAGACCATTTTTTGGCAGCGGAAATTTCAAATATAAAAAAAAAATTAATACCATTTGTCGACAGTAAGCAATTTTTAGAATTAAGGTCAGTGAAAACCATTTTAGAACTCAAAATGCACATTCATGAGAATTATTTTTAACATTTAATAGCGATGAAATTGATATCGTAACAAAAGTCTGCTTGTGCAACCAAGAAATCTCGAATTAACTTTACAATAGCAAATGGCTTCTTTTCACGAATGCGTCGATGGTGGGAATCGTGGATTTCAATACAAAAATTTTGTCTTCAAATTTTGATGTTTTCAAAATATTATATAATTAAATGAACAATTTCTGCTGAAATTTTATTTTCAGAAATCAATTAATCAATCAATACTGGTTGTGAGAGTTTTTGGGTGTTCCTGGAAATCAGCCGAAATGACTGATCCTTTTTACAGATTTCAAAGCCTCTTGTACGAAAAGTGAACTTTGCACTGATGTCGATCAATTAGTGTCAGGTGAGCTTGTTTTTATCAAGCTTCGATTGCATGTTAAAAAAAAGACCTGACGAAACCCTGCACGGGCCAAAAAGTGGAATTATCTTTCATCGCGAGAGGATTATTGATCGTGGCCGTCAAGGCGAAACAGGCTGAAATCTGATCTAAAAATACGCACTTTGCTGGAGGAGATCAGAGATTTCGGGCCGGGCCTCCTCCAAACAGGTCGTTGTCTCCGCCGGAATTTTCCATCCGCCGCTATTCCTCATCATGTGCCTTAATGCTCTCGGAATACATTAAGGCAACAAAGCTGGGCCGTGTTGCTTTGCATCTCGTCAACGATCTCCGCAATTTTTCACTTCGCACTGTCGCAACGGGGCGAGCACCTTCGCGCGGAGTCACATGATTTTATAAAAGTAGAAAGCGCCGACCTTTTTTTTTTGCAAATTCAAATGTGCCATTTTTTTCAGCGTTGTCCGCTTTAATTTACGGCAACACTGGCCATACATGAGAGCTAATACAACCACTTTCAAGGAGCAGGGTAATAAAAGTGCAATAAATGGACCCTTTTTGGCCGCCGTTTTCAAATTAATGTGAATATTTATGAGGTTTTCACGCAAAAATTACATTTGAAACATAAACATCCATTAATTTACAATTTTGAGACACTTTAGGGAGATTTCACTGCTTGATAATTAATTTTTGTATGGTCAATTTAAATTTACTGACAACCGTTAAAACGTTTATTATCCAAGTTGAATTTTTTTCTTAGTTACAATGGCTAGGGGCGGTGAGAGAAAAGCCGGCTTAATTTAGTGCCCTGAAATCACTTTCCCTGGAATTAAAATAGTCTCTAATATTATTAAAAACAACAAACAACGCATTCAGCAATCTCGCCTTTGGCCAAACTCAAATATATATAAATACAAAGTTGCGATAATAAGAAACGGAATGATCGATATAGTTATTATAAACACGTACACAGACAAACGGCGGTGAATGTCTCGTTTCGCAACAATCCCCTGGCTCACGTACCGATTTCTGATCACTATGAAAAAATAAACTACACACAACGGCCAGTGACCTGAAAGCGGGACGTGCCGCAAAAAACCGAGTTGTGTATTTGCATAAGGAGACTATTTCGAGCCAAAGACACAATGTAGTGAAAGAAGCAAATGTGTACACCGACAATAAAAACGAAGAATACCAAGGTCGGTGCGAGATAAGCCGGGACTAAAAATAACTCGACCGGCTCGGGGGCAAATCTCGGGCAAACAGAGGTGGAATGTACTTTTGATTCTTCTCCTTGGATGCAGATTTTTGCGACGGACAAAAATTGGTCGGCCACAGAGCTGCGGACAGACAGATTTGCGTCAGCGAACAGAGGCTTACGTAAATAGCCTAGCCTACACCAAGGCGAAAGAAAGACGCCGCCACCTCTGAGCCATAATTTTTTACTGTTTGTCACTTTGGGCAGGTGGATTAAACCCCCTTTGGGAATGTGCAAAAGTCTCAAACGTTGTAAATTATATATATAAATTTTCGAGGTGGACCTCTTAGGAGAGAAAAAAATGAATTATTGCCCCTAACATGTAGTTGGTGTGCCAAGTATGGTGTTGCATTAGCCTTTGACGTCAGCAGGATCTGTTTATATTTATTGCAAATTATTATTGGGCTCCTTTCGAAATGTGCACGGCGTGACCTGTCCCATTTGTTATGTAAAAAAATACGTGCTTTTTTTCGCACAGCGCCCAGCTGGTGAAAAAACCGACTTATATTAATTATCTCAAGTGAACCGACGGGCAACAGTTCTGCTCCATAAAGGTAAAGTGGTGCTAAAGCTTTTTAAGTCACGCGCTCCTTTGGAGAAAAAAAAGTGATTTTAGCGGTCCGTACTTTCGACCTGAATAAATTATTGCACTATTTTCGATAAAATATCAATTTTCAAAAAGTCGAAGGCAACAAGGTATTATCAGATTGAAATTATTCTTCTAGTAAAAAAGCAGCTCGGCGGAATTAATACAGGTTTTGTTAACTCCCACAAATAAGCAGGTGATTATTTTGTGGGCGTATTTGCATAAATTTCATTTTAATTTGGACGTTAACTACTAAAAAATTCAAGACGAGTTTTGAAACTTGTCAATTAGTTCAACTGATCGTAACAGCGTTGCTGTCAAAATCAAGACTGTAAATTTTAATTGCAATGAAAGTTAAAAATAACTTTTTTGTGGTAGAAATAACTGATAACATATCATTTTAAATAATTTTAAAGAGGTCAGACGAGCAATTATCGTTAATTTTAATGAAAACAGTGTTTAGATCAATTGATATGATGTTCTTTTTTATTCATTTCATTTAATAAAAATGCCCAAAAATATTTTCAGGAATAATAAATTAAGAACGAGTGATTAATGAACAATTTATTACTCTAAAAAGAAAAAAAAATAACTTTCACGGAATAAATATTCTTTGCTTAGAGGTGTATAGTATGAACATCAATAAGAGGAATTGTGTTTTCTTAAAATTAAATTAAATATTATTCGGCCTTACATTTATTGGCATTGATTCATAACACAACGTTTCCAATGCAACAGCAAAAGACGGACATATTTGATAACAGAGCTCAATAATAATTATAATCTTTCTCAGAATTTTCAGAGTGGCATTAGACTTATTGCCAGGCCAACAAAGTCCCGCTTGTATTTATCGGACCCAGAATCGTTGTAATAATATTTTTTAAACAATCGAGCAAAATAAAATGTGTATGCTCACTCTAATGAGACGGTTTTTAACAATTGAACAAAAAAATTAATGATTGTTCAATTTCATATTTCTGATACTGACCGCCAATTAGGACTTTATTTCAATAAAAATATCTCTTATATACTTTGGTTTTGTAGAAAAGTTGATATGATTATCACAATCATTGTTTATTGAACGCTACCGACAAAAATTAATGCAAATATTTTGGGCAAGTAGTTGCTTTGAAATTCAATTTCGCTGATAGGTCAAGAAAAAAATTCCAGCACATTTGTCTTAAAAGTATAATAAAATTTAGAAAATTTCAAAAAGAAAACTTTGAGTTGAATATTTTTTAGTTTAAGGATTAAATTTAATTGAAGTGTTGCTGGGTATGTGGTGAAATTTTCAATAATTTACGTTTATGGTAGATTTTGAGAGGAAAATTAATTATAAAACTCCAATCACCAGCAATGTTATTAGAAAAAAAATTAATACTTCCACAACTTATAGAAATTATATGGTCTGAATGCCAGTGTAAACAATCAAGCATCACCGCAATTAACCAGGCTGATTTTTAGCATTAGAGTTGATGACAACTAAATAGAGAAATTTATAAAAAAAACTTGTTCAAAATTTCTTCTGATTTGTCTCTTATTTGGAAAAATATTTATAAATTGAGAGAACATGTATTGTGAAAATTTATCACTTTTGTGGCACAAACCACCGCACTGTCCGACGACGAAAGCAATAATCATGCAAATTATTTCTTGTAAATAATGTAAAAAAATAAATTGCGGACGCACCGATAATCATGGGCGCAGGTGGTTGCATGGAGGAGGGCATGTGCGGCTGGTCCTGCTGCATCCGCCAGTCATCGTGGTCCGCACTGGCCCCCGGCGGGGGACTGGTGAGTTGCTGCTGCTGCTTGGGGGCGGCCCCGGGGGGCTGCGCGGGGTCGCTGGGGGAACCCGAGCGTTCGGGCAGCTCGGGGATGGCGACCAGCATGCTCCGTGGCGAACGGGGGCGGCCTGACACGTGTCACTGCTGCGGGGCCGGCCGACGACGGGGCCGGGCGGGCGCCGAACCGAGCGAGAGCGAAAGAGTTGCGCGGGGTCCGCTCGCGAGCCGACTGAGCAGCAAAGCAACCGAGCGGCGGCGGCGGCGGCGGCTCCACCTCCTACTAGACAACAAACGCCGCGCCACTCGTAAACAAATACATGGACGGCTATTTTTAGAACACGTGCCCCGCGCTGGAAACCAACAAACGTATACAGTCAATAAAGAGCAGCAGCCACTCCACGTCCCGTTTTTCCCTTTCCATCTTTTTCTTTCTATCTGATCCGTCGTTCTCCACAGACGATGGTGCTGCTGCTTAATTCATATTTTAATTTTTTTATCCTTTTACTCGGCTGCTTCCTGCTGCCTCTCTCTATCCGAGGACACAATGTGCCGATGATGATGATGTAGCTGGCCCGGCTATTTATAAACCTCTTTCGCTCTCTCAGGCCCTCTCCGCCGCAATGTTTCTTCCTCCTCCAGCAAGTGCGCCTCTTGCTGTCGCGCGAATATGGATTCGAGGCCACCGAATTATTGATTGCCTTCATTGGCCCCTCCGCGTGTGTGTGTTGTCACTTTTTGTATCTGCGGTTTTCAATTCAATATGTACTTTGATTATGTAAAAATTGAATCAATAAACTCAATAGACGTCTGTTTTGTCAGGTGCGAGACACTCTGAGTAGGGCGAATTTATTCACCAGACATCACCAATGTTCAATTTGTGAACCTAAATCATTTTGAAAGTATCATAATACGCGATGTTCCGATGCTTGTACATTAAAGCATGGTAGTTGTTTCTGGTTTTGACAGCTCTTGTAACATGTTTCAAAATAAAATTATTTACTTTGTCACAAATTCATTAGTTTATTTATCTTCTATTTAAGTAAAATGTTGCACAGTCTTTAAAAACGCAATCAGCGATTTAAATTAGGAATTATCTTTCTTTCCTCAGATGTTTGCACATTTTTTTAGATTTACTTGGTTAAGCCGTTTTATTTCAACAATAAAAATGAAATCCTAAGTCTTTTTGAGTCAGATTTTTTTTTTTACTCGAAATTTTGTGAAAATAATATATGTGAAAACAGATTAGATTTCATTTAGAGCTCTTCTTAATAATGAAAACACAAATTATTTAATTCAATAACTATAGCAACAAAATGTCTTATTATTGTCAAAATTTCAAAGCCACGCCTTAGCAAAAATATATGATATATATTAATTTTGATCACTAATATTTTTTTTCTTTTTTTATAAAACCTTTTAACAGAAGTCCACATAAAAATTTTTTGTCAAAAAATTCTTTCGTAAAAAATTTAAAAAATATCCGCCACGAATTTAAAGAACTATGTAATATAATTTTGGCGAATAACCATAATTAACGCATTCAAAATTATTACAATTTGTTTATATGTACACAAAATTATGTCATATAGCTGTCATATAGTTAAAATTTTAATATTGGAATAACATTTTTATTCAGCATTAAATTTATAAATTAAAAAAGTATTTATAGTTAAAAAATTATTTACTTCTAATATGTGGAGGAAATAATTAAGTCATTTCACAAGTCTTTATCACTTTTCTGTGGTATTTACGCAATTCTCATTGCCATAATATAATCTTAAATTAATCAGAACTTCCTACACATTTTTATTTCTCGGAATAAAATTGAAAAAAAAATCTATTAATACCTACAGGTCCATTTTTCTTTCATTTTTTGACTTTTTCTCGACAAAATAAAATTTTTAAGATTGATTATTTTTCTTTAAAAAACCAGTCCATATGCGGGCAATTATTACAATTAAAAAAAGGATATGATGTATTTGTGGCCGATAGTGCTATCAACAAGGTCACTAAACAGCAGCGCGCACTTCCTTCCCTTCAAATTAAAAAAAAAAATAGATATATATCCGAAAACCTCTCTAGGCACTTTCTAACGATTTAAATTTCTGTCAATTTTATATGCAAAGAGGCGTGTAATTTTTTAAGTACTTGTTGCCAACAGGGGTTGGCAGGAGACGCAAATATACATGCCAATCAAGACGTTGTGTACAATTCCTGTCACACCTCCTGTCGATACTGTGACTGCATAATTTCGATCGCATCATAGATTTCAGCTTGCCAAGGTTGTTCATATTTTTATTCTAACGCCACACCGAGTCACCGACGCAGTATAATTTCGACGCTCAATCCAAAAGTATTATTTTTTACCTTGCACAGAGTAAAAATTAAACGGCGCGTGCACGAAACCCTTTTTCTGAGCCACACTTTGATTGTCACGCACGCAACTCTACGTGGGCCTTAAAAACTTGCACTTGTGGCGCCTTCAATTGTCAAAAACACAAGGTGGGCAATCGGAAAATTTACTAAAAAAAGGAATAATAGGTTTAATGCTCACTCGAGTTGGAGACATTTTCGTCTGCCCTGCTCATGATTGTTGATCGCAAGATTCCCACCAGCGACTGATGAGAAAACTGAAAAGATAAATTATTCATTTTAATAAAAATAATAATTCAGGCAAATGATTGTTCATTTGTATAATTAGTAATTACCCATAAAATAAAACTATTTTTGGGATTTTTAATTTTCTCACAAGGCCTGATTAGTTATTTGATTAATAATTAAACTGCAATTAGGGATGATTTCCAGTGCATTGTGTGTTAAATTTATAACCTTCATTACAGTCTCAGTTTAATTCAAAGTAATTTTAGGGATTAAATGGGTTTTTTTAAGTTTTTTTTTTATAATTCATTTTAATTGAAACCTTCATAAAATATTAAAATTAGAGGTTTAGACAAATTGTGTTTAGCAAATTTTGTGAGTATGCTTTAACTTTTAATTAGTTTCATTTAAATTCAATGATTATTTAAATATAAGTGATTTATTTATTCACATAGACTTTATATTTTTTTTTGCAAAATTTGCATAAATTTAAATAAACAGGTAATAATTTTTTTTTATACTTTTCTGAAAATCAGCCTCAAATCATTAAAAACTGTAGACAGGGAAAAATTAATTTCGCTCGACTTGCATATTTTACTACGTACTTCCTGTGCATCTTTGTTTGTCTTTTTCACGAATTTGCATAAATTTCAAATCTTTTCAGTGGCAAAGAAACGATAAAAACAGGAAGTCACTGATCGAGAGGGCGAAAATGTCGCCAAATGGCGCAAAATGTCAAAGAACACGGAGCACCGAAATCGAGGGATGTGCCCACTATTATTTATAAACATGTTCTCCAACAGCAGGTGCCTGCCTGCCAGCTCCCAGACCCACTACTTGGTTTCGGCGCCCGTGGAGCCGCTGGCGACTCCAACTCGTTCTATTCAACCAGAGGCACTAGTGATGTCAAATTACCTGCAGACTAGCCACTCATCCAGCCAATTCCTGTTGTAAATGGCTCAAATTCCTAGAATTTGGAGACTTGTTTCGAATGAATGCATTACAAACATTTCACAATAAAACACAAGGTGGCAGCGACTCGTACGGCAGAGGAGAACATCACGTTGAGCACCGTTGACAAGTGACAATCGCATAGCCAACTTAAAATAGTTACAAAGTAATAGCAACCATGAATAAAATTGATGTTAGTTTAATAAATTATTATATTAATATGTTTAAAATACCTATATTTAGATTTTACATACCTTTTAAGAAAACTTTCTTGACGTTTTGTAAAAGGGTAAAATTGTGCCAACTCTGATATATGTTGGTGTTTTTTGGTTTTGTGTGTAACACGTGGGCGTGTCTATACTGTCTATAGTAAAGCGAAATGTTTTGATTTGCGTACATACGTACGTCCAGTGGTCAAAACACGTTAATTACATAATTACAGTTTGGCTGAACACGTCATAATTTTTCTCAAAGTTAGAAAAATGCTCGATTTAAGGCACGTGAAGCTGAAATAATCAGCCGTTGATGAACCACAACATGCGTGTCCTTCTCGGCATTTGCCTTCTGTGCGGGGCTTCCGCCCTCGGGACAGTGGGCTACCTGCTGACCCGGTTACTTTCTCCAACACCATGGTCCTTTCTTGGGTTGATTTACGTCATCGGGGTCGCCTGGTTGACCTCTCTCTTTGCCCAGTCCGCACTTGAATCGCTGCTCGATGTTCAAAAACCCTTATCTGGTATTTTTTTTTCCAAAATTTAGTTTCCAATTTTTTTAATACACATTTTTTTTACAGTTTCCAGCGTTGACTCATACATCAGCATGGCCAGAGACGTCGGACTGCTGAGACGAAGCAAGCCAGTCATACAAACAGACCAATCGGACGCCGTCCAGTGCGAGGTGGAACTGTTGCTCGGAGAGTTGCATGCAATCCTTATCACCGGCTGGTTTGACTCGCTGAGTCCGAGGGATGCTGATTTTCCTAGAGCGTCTCGGGTGGCCTTTTCAAGAGCGGCCGTGGAGGTGGAAACGTGTATTCGAAAGGTCAACCCTGTTGAGGCTGCAAGGGCTGTGCTTATTCTTGCTATTGGACATGCTCGGAGAATTAAAGGAGGACCCTGGTAATTTTCAAATTAAAATTTTAAACCTGAAAGAATTGTTTTCATTAATTTTAAAAACGCTTATATTCTTTCAGGCCAAAGACTGATGAAGAGGTTGCTTTGAATACCACTGCCGAGGCTTTGGTCATGTCTCTCCTACCTCCCGAGTTGTGTTGCCCACCGACTGGGCCACTTCTTTCAGCCCTGTTGGCTCACGGAGCCCTTAGTCGTGCCCTTTCTCTAGTCGCCGACCCTGGTTGGTTGCAGACCCAAATTGCATGGGCCTTGGGAGGCCAAACGGAGACCCCGATGGAACGACCTCGGACTCTGACGCTCAGCAAAGTGACCAAAGAGGAAGAAGAATTTGAAGACCCACTGACCAAAGAAGAGGAGGCGGAAGCCACTCCTGAATATGAAGAGGCAAGTGACCTGGCTTCGTCCATAGCTAAACTCAGGGCCCTCCTTGCTGCCAAAGACGAAGCCGAAAAAGCTTCGGAACTGCCTAATGATGACAGGCCCTTTATGAATTTGTCCATTGTGGGCAACGAAGTCGTGGCTGAAGGAAGTGGAATGCCCTATGTCTTGTACTGTGTTCAGTATGAAGTTGTCGTCATGGGAGACGGAGGCCCTCGTTTGGCTGTTGTTCAAGTGAAACGCAGATTCCAGGAGTTTTTAAATCTACAGTCTCGTTTGGAAGAGCAACCACATTTAAAAGCAGCATTAAGAGGTATAAATTTTGTTTCAAAAATTTATTGCAATTTAAAAAAAAAATGTACTTACAGGAGTAAAAGGTCCTTCGAAGTGGTTGGCTCTTGCATTTAGCAAAGCAGGGCAGCAAACTACAGCTCAACGCCAGCCGGTCTTGGAGAGATACCTTCAGCAACTCTGCGAACAACCTGTTTTGGCCCGATGTGAGGCGCTGCAGTCTTTCTTGGCTTACGGGAGTCCAACTGCGATGGCCTACACCAGAGGCTCGTCCGAACGCCTAGATCGGCTACTGGCTCGGACGGTCAGCGATGTCTTTCACACCATCAAAACCGCCCTGCCCAACTTTGAGGACCAAATAGCTGAGCAAACTGAACTTAATGGCCACTTTGATGTCAAACACTCTTTCATGGAGAGGCCTCCGCAGGTATAACAAAGAATTTATTGAAATCTAGAAAGTTTAATTATTTGTAAAAATTAATTTTTTAATTTTTTTTTCAAATCCCAATTTATCTTGATGATTTTTGGGAATTTTCAGTTAATTTTTTAAGCATCTAAATTCTTATAAATTCAACAGCTGAAGGAGGTCAGCAGAGATGTCAAGCGTTTCCTATCATCGAGGGTTGTGGAAGCTGCCAGTGAAGCTTTACCTGAGAGACCCTCTTCTCCTTTGACCCCTATTGGGCCCAACCCCCTACCTCAAGCTTCCCTGGTCAGCTTGACAGAAGTGCTCGTTCGAGAAATCTTTCCATCGTGCTGGCTCTGGAAAAGCCCCCTGCTCGGATCAATTAAAATCCTTCTTTCCCACTGGCTCGAACACCGCCTCCAGACTATTGCTACCGATCTATGGTCATCTTATTCTGCACTTGTCTTTCTAAGGCTTTGCAGGATTGCCTTGGCTCCTGGTCCGCCATTAGTCCGACCAACTAGAGAAGAAGGACATCGAGCCCTGGCGTCTGTTCTTGTTCCTCCGACTTGGCTTTCGATCGCACTGGGAAAAGGTGGTGTCACAGAAGGAAGAGATCTGATTCTCAGAGCGTTTGCATGTGAAACAAGCAACAGGCAGCTCGGCCTAGATGTGGCTCTATTAGCCACTTTTTTAGCAACCAATTGAAGAAAAAGCTCTGCGAATATATTATTTAAATAAGCTGCATTTTATTTAGAGTGGCTGTGTTGAAACCTCTTGAAATATTCTGGTCATTTAATGCTACGAATGAATGTTAAAAAAATATTGTTTCAACGATGTTCTCTCTGCCATATTTTTGATTGTACGATTGAACTGAATTTTGACACAACCATTCCTCAAGCCAGTGATGTGTGTTATGTGATAAGTGTTTCAAAATAAAATTTATCTGGTACAAAATTAAGTGATTCTTTTATTTAAGAAATTTTAAATGCTGGATGTGAGATGAGGATGAACTTTTCATATGGCTTATTATTAACTTAAACGGCTCAATTTTCAGGGATTATAGCTTCTTGTTTATGAACAAATTCCTTCAGTTCATTGTAGACTTTCACAGCAGCATTGTAGGCCTCCTCATCTGCATATCAATAGGTTTTTATTATGACCCATGGTATTTAAAATTTTTAATGTCATTTTTACCAAAAATGGAATTGGGTGATTTCTTGACGTCGTCATCGTGCAGGCTACTGTGTGCTTTGAAGATCCACACACTCTCTCCTGCGATGGCATTTGGTCCGACCACTGATCCCCAAACTCGAACGCACTGGCCTTTCATGATTTCCTCTTGATTATCAAATGTAACATTTACGTTGACTTTGTCAGTGGTGACAAGCTTAATGGAGGTACCAGTACTGTGGACCTGAATAAAAAGAAAGAAAAAAATTAGTATGAACAACAGAAAATTAATTCTTTTTCCTTGTTTAATAACCACTTACATCAGTTACAGATCCGACCAAACACACTTCATTTCCAACCAAATTTTTGAGCATACTTCCAAGAGCGACAAAGCGCTCATTTTCTGCGGTGTCGATTTCCATTTTAAATTGGGATTCGCTATAAAATTAAAGTACATATAATTACAAGAAGTATGTACAGTTATGTATGTATGTATGCAAAGTACATATTAGTATGCTTTTAGTAAAAAATAATATAAAATCCTTATCCATTGCTTTATTCTTTTTTCATGCCATGAACAGGATTGTCAGCGGTTCAATCAATTAAAATCATGTAAAATAAATTAAATAAGATGCTTGATGGACACCCCGGCCCCAGCACCCCTCTGCCAAAAATAATGGGAATGGGAACCTTTCATCGGCCTCATCTCATCATCACTGCCAATGTCTCGATCGTCAATATATAATGCAAGAATGAGATTTTACAGGTAACCAAAGCTACTTACTGAAATTATGTTGTAAAAATGATTGAAAACGATGATTTTCTTGCTCTGAATAAATTGGAATGAATCAGCTGCCCTGCTTGCCAATGTCAACAATTTTGGCGCACTCTAAATTGGAATGCGCAAGGTGATCGTCAATTTTTTACGAGGAGTGAAGCGCGGCAAAATTGATTGTCCTCGTCAATGTAAACAAAAACGCAAACATTATGAACATGAAGCGCTGAAAAGGGAAAAAAATATAAATTCTGTTTAAATTACATAGTCTCTGCAAAGCATAATTTTGGTTAAGTTGCTAAAAAAATTGTAAGTTTAAGTTACACTCTAAAAATTTATGTGAAAACCTTAAAATGATACATATTTTAAAAATAAAGAATTATTATAACTATATGTAATTTTTTTTTTAACAGATCAGAACTTGGTGCTGTCGGTTGAGATGCATCAGCCAGAGATGTCTTCACGCGAGACGAACATTTTCATGGACTACAACGCCACCACTCCTCTGGCACCTGAGGTCGTGGAGTGCATGCAAGATGCCCTTGTAAATTGTTGGTCAAATCCGAGTTCCTCTTACGCCCGAGGAATAGGAGCTGCTGAAAAAATAAAAGAGGCTAGGAAGTATTTAGCTGCTCTCGTGGGCACCCCTCATCATGAGGACATTATATTCACCTCTGGAGGAACAGAGGTAAGTGGGTTTTTTTTTGTAATTAAAATTATTTGATAATAAATAAATCATGCATTATTCCAGTCAAATAATATGGTCATCAATGGAATTGTTAAATACTTCAAAGAGTGGAATCAAAAGCAGAGCAAACCTCTTAGTGGCATTCCTCATGTAATCACTACAAATGTAGAGCACGATGCAGTTATTCTTCCTCTAAAGCACCTTCAGGAGGAAGGTTTGATAGGTAAAGATTTTAAAGGGAGAAGAAATTTATGATTTATTTTTTTGACAAATTTACTCAGACGTTTCAGTCATTCCTGTTACTAACAAAGGGGTAGTTGAAGCCGATGATATTTTGTCTGCTGTTCGACCAACAACAAGCTTAATCACTGTGATGATGGCAAACAATGAAACAGGTGTCATCATGCCTATATCAGAAATCGGAAGGTAAATATTCAAAAATTTAAGAGACACAATTGTTAAATTGCAATTTTTTTTAGGAAACTGCAGGGAGTAAATAGAAAAAGGCTTGCCAGTGGCTTAATTAAAATTTTATATCACACCGATGCAGCTCAAGCCATTGGAAAGATCCCTGTTGATGTGGAAGAGCTGCTCGTTGATTACCTGACTGTCGTCGGACACAAAGTAATAGCAAGAGAAATATATAAATTTATTCCATGCCGAACAGCTGTGGGAATTCCCTTATCAGAGCTATCATTAGAGTTACATGCATATTTTTATTTTTTTAATTTTCATATCTATTTTTGTTTCTAGTTTTATGGACCGCGAGGGGGTTGCCTGTATGTCCGAGGACCTTTTACTGCCACTCCTGTTTACCCTATGTTTTATGGTGGAGGTCAAGAAAATGGAATCAGACCTGGCACGGAAAACACTCTCATTGCAATAGGGATGGGCAAAGCTGCTTTTCTCGCAAAGCAGTACTTCAATCAAAATCAGTCGCTATTCATTTGCTTTAGAAAATATCTCGAGGAAATGCTCAAGGTTCTGTGAAATTTTTCAACTGGAGTAGTCAATTGATTAATGAATTAATTTGTCAGATGACATTCGGAGAAAGCGCTGTAATTCATTTTAGAGATCCCGATGTTCCTTTCCTGCCCAACACATGCAGCGTTGCATTTTTGACACGCGACAAAGGCATCACTGCATCTGCAATTCTCTCTTCGTGCAAGCAACTTGAGGCCAGTGTAGGAGCAGCTTGCCATAAAGATGGCAGTTTGTCTAGTACGCACTGCTTATAATTGTAATTGTGTGTTACTAATTCTATTTTTCTTACAGAAATACTCTTAAACTCAGGAATTTCAAGCGATTTGGCAAGGTGTACTATAAGATTGAGCATTGGAATGCTTACTACGAAAAATGAAATTGACCTGGCCATTAAAGATTTGGTTAATTCCATTCAAAAGCTCGAAAAAACCTTAAAAGTAGTGCAATCGTAATTAAAAAGTGGTTTCGATGCGAATTGGCTTTTTTTTACTTATTATTAATTCGGGATGTAATATTGAATAAAATTATACTTTTTGTATTTTAGTTAATTTTATTTTTAGAAGTTCCTGCAACAAGACAAATAAATACACTTTAGTTTGTAAAATAATATTATAAAATTTTAAGACTCGTACTTAGACAAGATTCCATCCTTCTTTGCTAATCTGCCGATGCAGTCATCTGACTCACCCTGCAAGACGAATTCGAATAAATTTACGCTTCCAATTTTATTAAGGACATTTATTAAAAATAGATATTACGCAGTGAATTTTATTGATTTTTTAGTGTGGCATTCAAAATTTGAAGGCATCCAAAATATTTTTAATTTTAAATCCGTTATCAAAGAATGCATTTTAAAACCACGAAAGATCTTATCCCATTTTATAACATGTTATTGGTGATTGAAATATGTTACTGCATTCAATTTAGTTTAAAAAAATCAATAATTGATAATTATTATCAAACTGTTAAGCATGAACAGCAAAATACATAAATAAAAAAAATGCAACAAATAATCACATAATGTGTCTCAAAATAATACTTTTCAATAATTTCACACAATTTGTATTAATGTTTACCATGCGTCTGATGGCTCCGCAGATGGCATACTGTTTGCTTGTGGAGGCCATCCTGCCATTGGCATCAACATCACAAATTGTAATCTGGATGGAGGCATGGTCCTTGGCGTGGATGATGCGGTTGCTCGCCGAGCTAGAATACAATTTAGGCATGAAATTAATTTCTAAACAGCGAGATGAAGCATAATTTGTAAAAAATTTAACATGAAATAGGACAGTCCACGTGTTCACCGTGCCGTGCGAACTCACCATTTGCGAGGACAGTACAAGTCAACAAATTCTCCCGAGTCGTTTTCCATGGCGATTTTTGATCTGCAGAAATTAATTTATCAAATAATATCAGAGATTTTGGTCAAGAGCAATTAAAACCGAGCCAAATTAGGCCGGAAAATTACCTGTTTACGTGCTTTAGATCGCTGTCAATAATATGGCGACGAAGTGGGCGGGGCGCGGCCTGTCAGGCTGGCCAACAGAGTAGCCAACGTGAGCAGAAGCGGCGCGAAAGTGCTTGCGGGTCACGCGGCTTGAATCGATATAGTGGAGTTATGTATTGCGGCAGGGCTTAATTAGATTAAGAAATCTCGCAATTTAACGATCAGTCGGCCGCAGTCTACACCGCCGTCGAGATGAGAGATAACAGGCGAAAAAGGCGGCGGCAAAAGCTGATAAGCGCCGACGAGAACGACTCAAACTCTGTAGAGAGTGCGATTGCGAATGAGAATGCCGAGATTCCGAGAGGGAGGACGCTGTACAAGATCAACAGCATGGGTGAGGGGAGCAGACGCAATAGACACTTGCGTTTTTGTTTAAGTACTTTCTTCCTATGCGTGTACTTGCACTTGTATTTATTTGTTATTATAAAAAAGCAATAGAGTGCAAGTGCACTTGCTCGGAAAGATTTTGTTTTGTTCAATATATTGAGTGAAAATAAGGGCATGTGCATTTATCAGTTGAATACAAAAAATATAAATTATATGCTATAATAATTTATGTATAATCGATCAAGGAGTTAGTTTTCATTCAAGTTTATTGGCGACCGACCAGTTATGTTTTTTCTTATGGTGAGAGGTAATTTTTTGTTAACCATTACGTAAAATTTATTTTAGTTGTAGAAATTCGATCTCTCGCCAAGATGTGTGCAAAAAAAATCAATGAAATGAAATAAGGGATATTAAATTAAATATTTTTACTATCTTATAATTAGAGGCAGAACCTTTTCAACTCAAATGTCTCAAATTCTATTTACACCGCATCAAAATTTAATTAAATTATAGATAATTACAAAAGTGCTGCCGTGTGTAGTTTAGGGCTTTTGGCGCTAGCGTTGTCAGCGGTGTTGAAGAGACCGCAGGAAAAATTCACTTCGCAAGCAAAATTTTTAGGAAGGCGCAGTCCTGCACACAATATATAAGAGCAAGTACAATTTTACTACAGAACAAACCCTCTAAATACCATAATATGTGCTACATTTTTTTTATCTTCCGAAAAACAACAAATTATCATCCAAGTCATCCAATCATGAAATTAGAAATTTTTTAAATTTCAGATGAGAAATCTTCTGAGAAATTTTCATCCAAAGAAATGATAATGAAAGATTTATCGCTTGAAAGGACGCGCCTGAAACTTCAGGTAAAAAAATAATTTTTTTCTAAAAGAAAAGTTGGTTTTGAAATTTTGTAATCAGGAGCTGCAGAGCGATTTTCTGGAGGACATGGAGGAAAAAATTCAAAGGGTCATCACTGACGTGATCAAAGAAATCGGAGACTCGGAAAACGACCACAAGCTATTTGACGATAGCAAGAACTGCGTGGATAAAATGTGTGTGTGCTATTTTTAACTATAATACAAAACTAATTTTTAATTTTAACATAAAAATTTCAAAAATATGCAGGAAACCAGCGAGAGATGGGGCTTTACCGGACAAGGAATTCTTGGCCCGCAGCTCGCTGCTCACCGACCTTTTTGCGATAAAACACATCCGCACCATTTACCACATTTTTGTGGCAATTCTCATCATTTTACTCTTAAACACTGTGATTTACGACTTGGCTGACACCGGAAGGTGAAAAATAGATGTTTAAAATTTAATAAACACTGAACAAAAATGTTAATAAAGGCCAAACTTTGGCTTCGGGCTGATATTATGGAACTTTGGTGAGATGAAAACTGTGATATGGATCTGGATCTGCATGATGGCAGGCACTTTCTCACTGTATCTCTTCTTCCACTTTTTTGCAAGCAACAGACACAAGGTTCCAGAAAAAAGTAAGGTTTTAGCTTCACTTAAAATACAATTACTGACAATTTTTTATTTAATAAACAGACTTAGAAGTGTGGGACAAAGGGTGGCTGGCCGCTTTTGTGCTATATCTTTGCGTTCTATTGTACTGGCCTTTGAAGAGTACCTTAGAGCATGACCTGCCGCCAGCTTCCTCACTGATCGTGTTAATAGAAAAGGTCTCAAATTTATTCAAATGTATAATTACATAAAAATTTGCTTATTTTTCATTTTATTTTTATTATTTATAACTCATTTTTCAATTTACATATAAAAAAATTATTTATAAAATTCCTGTCTTTTCAGATCCGCCTATTAATGAAAAGTTATGCTTTTGTACGAAGCAATACTCCGAAAGTGCTGGCATACAAGCCAAAAGACTCGAACAACGACAAAGAAGCCGATTCCCCTTGTCCTGGCTTTTCCCAGTTTCTCTACTACATATTCGTGCCAACCCTAGTCTACAGAGATTCGTATCCTAGGTAATAAATTTTTTAACTATGAAAGTAAAAAAAAATTATTAAATTTTCAAAAAAAGAACGAAAATGGTGCGCTGGCGAGTTGTGGCTTGGAGTTTTACAGAAGTTGTGGGAATTATTTTCTACGTGAGCTTCATTTTCGAGCGATTGCTGAAGCAACAATTTGAAAACTTTGGGAAGAGTCGGGTCGAAACAAAGGACTTGGTCGTTGCGATTTTTAACACCATGATGCCGGCCACCCTGGCGATGCTTTGCGGGTTTTTCTGCCTACTTCATTCGTGGCTCAATGCGTTTGCGGAGATGATGTGCTTTGCTGATCGAATGTTTTACAAGGTATTTTAAACAATTCGTTTTTATTTATTTCATACCCATCAAATCGAAATTAAAACATAGCAAATTTAATATTTAATAACTGATGCTTTTATATTAAATAACATACAAGTGCCTTGTAGTTTTAAAATTTATACATTCCATCAAACTAGTTTTTCCCACAATTCTTTAATATTAATAACAGAATTGTATTAAATTTAATAAGTAACAAAATTCTTTAAAAATTTCTCTTTAGGATTGGTGGAATTCAACATCGTTCAGCACATATTACCGCACGTGGAATGTGGTGGTCCATGACTGGCTTTATACATACATCTACAAAGATTTTTCAGAGATTGTCTGTCCCGATGACAGAATTACGCCAAAACTGATGGTGTTTGCCGTGTCAGCGGTGTTTCACGAGTACATCCTCACATTCACCTTCCGTTACTTTTACCCTGTGATGTTATTCATGTTCGGAGGCGCCGGAGGTAAATTTATAAATCTGTATAAAATTGCGCGGTTCATGATAAATGCAATTTTTGCACAGTTGCGCTGACTTTTGTACAGAGGAAGGGCGCGGGAGGAAACGTCTTTATGTGGCTATCTTTGTGCATGGGCACTGGGCTTTTCCTAAGCCTTTATAGCATGGAGTGGTACGCTCGGATAAATTGTCCGCAGGAATTGGTAAATTAATATAATAATATAATATAATACTTACAATTAGTCTGGTAAAATAAGTCTCCTGAATATTTTACTTTTGTTGGTTCTTATGGAATATTTCGCATTTTAAAATGATTATTACTTTTACTAATAGTACAGAACTCACTTCTAACTTCAAATTAATTATAATTATTTTTTTTTAAGACAAAATGATTTTTTAATTTATTTGCTTTGGTCTTGGTGTCTTTTTTCAATATTAGCATTATTGTTGCTTTCATTGCAAAGTAGAAATATATTAAATTTTAATTATCATTTCAAATTTAATGCCTTTAAGACGGTGTTTTATTTTTATTTTTTAAGCCAAACTCACCGATTTTACACTTTATTCCGGGCATCAATTTCATTTTTTTTTAACACGAGAGACTTTTTTCATCAATAAAAAAAAATCATTAAAACAATTACTAACTCTAACATTTTTTAACCAGAGCTATTGGGTGGACTTGGTAGTACCTCGATCATGGACCTGCAATGTGGGAAAACGTTCATAAAAAGAGTTTATTTTGCTTCAAATATGTATATTTTTAATATGGATTTGCGACTCTCCGTAGATGTTGTAGAATTTTAAAATAAAAAAGTACGAAGAAATGCGGAAATCAGAACGTTTTTATTTCTATAATATTTGAATTGCATACAAACAAGTATGATAATAATAAAAAAACGAAAAGGACTATTTTAAAAGAAACATAAACTTTTTATTAATAAAATAAAAATATAATTATACCGCTGTTGATGGCGCTCATTATTTTGGTGCACGGAGAGGAAGTATATAGTGTGACGATGTGCAGCGCTTCATTTCACATCAGGCTGTCTGATAACAGGGCCCTATATTATAGTCATGCACCAACTTATTTTTTTTTTATCGCGAGGGGAGATAAGGAGCCCCTAATGTAGCACCTGATGACGAGATCAGTCGAGGCGCGCCGCATGTGCAATAACGGCTAACGTCGGACGCGACAGGTGCGCTCGCTTCTCCCTGAATAATTTCATCGCTGCAGAGGCCGAATTTCGTTGAGCACCTGTTGCCGAGCTGTTTTTATAGCTGCACCGGACAAAGGTAGGTTTATCTCATGCATGCCATATGGGTGAAAAATGCTGTTTACTTTTTTCAGGAGCTCACAATGAGTCAATTGCTTGAAAGAAAATATATAATAATAAAATGAAAGAAATATAAATTTTTCTTCTTCTTAAATTTGCCATCGACTAATAAATAACTCTGAAAAATATAATTAATCAAAATGTCAGAGGAAAAATAAAAATTTTTATTGCTCCATTTTATCCTGGTTGATGGTGCATAGCTTAGCAATCTAATCGCGTGACGCTTTTTCGCAAGAGGAGAGATGGATGGTGTCGTATAATTAATAGTTAATCAGCGTTTATTGAAACCTCAGGTACCGCGATGGCCGAGGGAGAGGGGGAGTTCGGGTTTGTCAGCCGCGACCAAGGGTTGCTGGACCGCGCTGCTGGAAGACCGGACGTGGAGGAAGGGGAAACAACGGCGGCCTCTGCACCGCCGGAAGAGCAGTCAGGTAGCACGGCAGGTAGTGACAGTCCGGCAGGTAGCAAGCGGGGATCGGTCGCCAGCATTTCCAGCAGCATCAAAAACGAAATGGATCTCGAGCAGGCAAATGCGACCGACGTCGCTCTACCGCAGGTTTTTCAGGTACAAATTTTCTTTTTAGTATATAATTTTCATTCCCTATTTGGAAAATTTTCAGAAATTTTATTTTGCAGATAAGGAGTTTTTTATTGGAGAACTAATAGTTTTTTCATTAATTTTTTTTTTAATGTTTTCTTGTCCTATATTTTTTCAAGTACACACTCACAATTATTATCTCGATAATGGTGCGCACATTCCAATCTGCAAGTTTCATGGACCGCGCAGAAATATAGCAAAATATAGAAGAGCCATTACTGCAATAAGAAAAAGCTTCAATTTTCAAAATTTGAAAAAAAAATAATTCACTTTTCGTTATCGTAATAAAAATTCAAATTATAAAATTAGAAAAAGAAAATGAAAAATGTTCAATAAAAAACAAACTTTTTCTTTAATTTTTAATTTTTTTTTAATTTTTATATTTAAACAAATGAGTTTATATAGACACAGGACTTTTCTGCGTTGTTGTAGTGTATTGCAATTATTTTTGACAGTTACGTAAACCGAATAGTAACCATGCTTCCTTCCGGTCACATATGGTGCCTTTTTGTGTTGCCTGCTCCGTGTTGTCCGCTTGACATTGCGCATACAAACGGTAGGCAATAGAGAATAGATGGAGAGAGAGAGAGGCGCAGTGAAGGGTGAAAAGGTATTAGCTGCGGCGTGATGCGCGGATTTCACGCTTTAATGCAAAAAAGACGGTTGACTCGGATCGGCCACAAACTTGAATAGTGTACCATAAGTTAATTCAGCTCAAAGCCCGAGTTAACCACATTTAAATGGTGATCTTTCTTTTCAAAGTACAGCTTTCATTAATTCTCTTTTGGCACGTTCAAAATGCTTTATATTGCGAAAAAAAATAGTTAGAAGGAATGTACCGATTCAATAAGAAAAGCAATAATATTTATATAATGTTGAAAAATTAACAATAAATTGCATTTTAATCGTTTCCTTCATTTGATAAGAGTTTTAAAAATTACCTTTTTTTAAGATAAAAAAACTAAACAAAATAAAAAAAGTTTTTTTTTTAATTTAATGCTAATTTTCAATCATTTATCAAAGAACTTTAAAATTTATATCAAGAATGAGTTACTCGGTTCAAATAATGTCTGGCAAGTGGCGCGTGTTGGGTATTAAAATTGATGAGCATGTTTTTATCTCTTAATAAACGCTTCAGTCCCAAATTAACAGGCGCACCTGCATCTCCTTCAATTCACCTGCTACTGGTCATTGACAGAGTGACCACCGTTTAATAACAAAACTAGCGTCGCGATAAACAGCTCAGGCGCATCGCGTGCGCGCCCCTCCGACAGCCGGTAAAATAAATAGCTCGCGACTAGTTTTGTCCGGTGAAGCCTTGCGCGTTCCATACGTAGCTCGCAATCAGCATGTTATGAAACGAAAACGAGAAAGATATTGACACTTTTAATAGGCAGTGCAGTACATTCTGTATGAAAAGGGCAAAACATTATTTGCAGAAAAAACGCTGAAAAAATTATAAAAACCAAAAGGCAAAGTGTCTTGACCACCTGTGCCCTTTTCGAGTTTGCTGAAGGCAAGCTTCAATCTTATAAACTATTTGCGTATTTTATTTATTAACTATATCATCAATTTTTCATTAATTAACATAATGTATCACAAGATTTTCAAAAACGTAAGCTTGCGCTGGGTGTTGTTTTGTGGAAATATTCATTTTTGACAAAAAAAAAATACATCTCTAATATTTTTGTTAAGTTTTACTAGTGTACGAGTTGGCCGTGACAAATTTCCTCGTCACTGATTTAGTAAAGAAATTTGAGCTCACAGAGACAAATAGTTACCAAAAATTTATTGAAAATCAGCTTTACAAAATCTCAGAAATTGATCCTCAATTTTATGACACGACTCCTGCAATGACTAATCCGAGCTGGAAGAAACCGTATTTTGAAAACAGACATTTAATTACCAGATATGCAGTACACGGATTTCACTCTCTATTTTGTAAGAATAAAAATTACCATTCAAATGTAAATAATGATTGCGAATGTGACAAATGTGGGAGGAAATTAACTTGTATCATTTTAGTGAATGCTGTAAAAATAATTTAAGCTTGTCTGAAGCGGCGAGAATGAATTATAAATAATTAATTTTACGTTCATAAGTTGTACACATTTTGTGCTTAATAAATTTATATATATAATATTTTTGTTAACAAAAGAAGTATTATATCAGTTAAAAATTAAAATTTAAAAGGTATAAAAAAAATATGTATGTTTAATGTATTTTCTGTAATATTTTGTAGATTTAATATTATTTCGTTTTAATTTTTAATAATTAGTCAATTTTATATTGTTATAATTTAAAATGTTAAATAGGCAGTTCTTCTTATTTAACGGAACACGCATTTTTTGCTAGAGATGAGTAGGTTCATTTTTTTGAAATGAATAAATATTCTTAGGGAAATATATCCCATAATTGATCAATTGAAAATTATATAAAAATTTGATGACTTGGGCTTTCTCTTCTCAAACATTTTCATACAGTACATATAATTATATTTTTGATGAATTATGTCACAGAATGCTTTTTGACATATCTAGAAATAATACTTCTTGAAATTAAATTGCGTGATTTTATTAAAAATTGTTCTAACAATTTGCAAATAATTGTTTACATTGCCTCTTTGCGTAGCTATGCCTTACGAACAAATAATAATTCAAAATTCTTTTTTTCCAGGTAAAATACTTGGGAAGAAAAGAAGCGAGAGGCCTGTGGGGAATAAAACACACAAGGAGACCTGTGGACACACTGGTTGCCGCGGCAAAAAATGCCACTGGCTCCGGAGTGATTTTACCTTTAGTGAGACTTTCAGTGTCAAAAGAAGGTGTCAGTTTGTCTGAAATAACATTAAACAAAGTAGGGAAATGTAACAAAATTATTATATACTTTACTAAAATTAATATAATTTTTAGAGAGACAACAATCAGCCCGCCGCTTTTTACCCAATAGACACAATTTCTTACGGAGTCCAGGTGAGTTTGTGCACGTGCGACTATTTATGCTATTTTATTATTTGGAAACCACGCCACTGAAGCCTTGCACGTGACTATACTCGTGAATTGAAATCTCATTTTCGCAGGACTTGGTATACACAAGGGTGTTTTCAATGATCGTGGTGCGCGAAACAGCCGAGCTTCGAGGCCAACACCCGTTTGAATGTCACGCGTATGTGTGCGACAGCCGCAACCACGCCAGAAGACTCACTTACGCACTTGCCGCGGCCTTCACCGAGTACTCGAGGGCCGTGCGAGCTGCCTCGGGAGGTTCTCTTGAAGGCGTAGGCAAAAGGTCACGAAAATTCGCTATTGACCTGAGGACCCCGGAACAAATGGAGAAGGATTTGCAAGCGCCTACAGAGGAGGATAGTGAGGCGTGAATAAAAAACCAAATATATGATTTTACAACAAAGTTTCAAATTACAACTTCTTGTCAATATAAAAACTGTCAATTAAATATATAATTAAAAATGTTCCTTTCCTTTTGATATTTAATAATAAATTGTAAATATAAAAAATAAATAATTATTCAAGCTTGTAATGATGATTTTGTTTTACATAAATCTTAAAAATGTATTGCTTAATTATGGCAAGGAAGCTAACGCACAAAAAACTTTCTTTCTATTAAGAGGGTTAAATGTTGAATAAGCAAGAGTTTGTGACTCATGACCCAATTCTCGCGCTTTTTCTGCGCAGTTCTGCAAGGTTTGGACCGTCACACGCTGCAATTCAAAGCAGTTGCATATCAACCCATTCAGCTGCCCCGGAAAAAATGAAAAAAATTATGAAAAAATTGTGTCAATCAATACAACTTCCCTTAAATAGGGCATATAACAAAGGGCGCCACTGTGCTCAGAAGGAAATAAATAATAAAGACCATTCTCATGTGCCGGATAATAAAATAAGGCAGAATGCGCACCTTTACACAAGAGAGACGAACAAATGCAAACATTCCTGCGCCGGTTGCTCTGCTCGTACGTCGCCTATTATTTCGCAGCACTTTTCCGGCTTCCCAAATCTAATTAGGGGTTGATCTGGTTAGGGCTACTCGATGGCCCGGTATAAAAGCGCTGCAGACCTCCAGCCCGGTACACACCAAAGTTCTCGCTTCTGGTGAATTCTCAGTGCTTGCACTCTCTCAATCAACCACTTTCTTTTTGCACTCGTTTGCACTTTTCTCCTTAAAGGAAAAACCCAAAACTACCAGAAAACACTCGATGTTTGTTCTTTCTCTCGCCAACGTCGTTGCCGTCAAGGTCTTCAAAAAAACCACACCGAATGGTAAGTTTTAAAAATTTTAAATTATAATAAAATCAATTTAAATTTTTCCAAACAGGTAAGGTCACCGTCTACTTGGGCAAGCGCGACTTCGTCGACCACATCGATCATACTGAACCCATTGATGGAGTAATTGTTGTAGACAATGACTACCTCAAAGGCCGCAAGGTCTATGGCCAGGCAAGTTTTAAAAAATTTCTCAATTTTTTTCGCCTTAAAAAGGTTTAAATAATACAAATTTAAAATTTAAAAAATCTCTTTTGACTAACATAAAATTTATTCAAATTCCAGCTCGCGACCACCTACCGCTTCGGTCGCGAGGAGGATGAGGTCATGGGAGTCAAGTTCAGCAAGGAAATGGTCCTTGCTAAGGACCAGATCGTGCCTGCAGCCTCTAAGAAACTCGAGCTGACCCCCATCCAGGAACGTCTGATCAAGAAGCTGGGCCCGAACGCCTTCCCGTTCACCTTCCAGTTCCCCCAGGCTTCGCCATGCTCCGTGACTCTCCAGCCCGGCGACAATGACGAGGGCAAGCCCCTGGGTGTCGAGTACACCATCAAGACCTTTGTGGGCGACAATCCTGAGGACAAGAGCCACAAGCGCTCCGCCGTCGCCCTGGCCATCAAGAAGATCCAGTTCGCTCCCGCTTCCCGCGGCCGCCGTCTGCCGAGCTCCCTCGTCAGCAAGGGCTTCACCTTCTCTCAGGGCAAACTGAACCTGGAGGTGACCCTGGACAAGGAGATCTACTATCATGGCGAGAAGGTTACCGCCAACGTCATCATCACCAACAACTCTCGCAAGGACGTCAAGAACATCAAGGTAAAAATTTACATTAAAATGTTTTAATTTTTTTTACTTTTAATTTTCCCCTTTTTAGTGCTACATTGTCCAGCACTGCGAGGTGACTATGGTGAACGCCCAGTTCTCCAAGTACGTCGCCGAGTTGGAGACTCGTGAGGGATGCCCCGTCACCCCGGGAGCCTCCCTGACCAAGGTCTTCTACTTGGTGCCCCTCGCCAGCAACAACAAGGACCGTCGTGGCATCGCTCTTGACGGCCATCTCAAGGACGACGACGTCAACCTTGCTTCTTCCACCATGGTGGAGGAGGGCCGCGCTCCATCCGAGGCCATGGGTATCGTCGTCTCCTACTCTGTGCGTGTCAAGCTGAATTGCGGCACTCTTGGAGGAGAGCTCGTCACTGACGTGCCCTTCAAGCTTCTGCACCCTGCCCCAGGTAATTGCCCTGAAAATTACTTTTAGCTGCTTTATTAAGATTTTACCGTGAGAGCCTTTTATTTGATATATTTTTTTGAAAATTTTATGGCTTAACCTGCAAAGCGCGTCTTTTGTGAACGTTAATTCGCCGCGTGACTGTTACAAACTGAAGCCCTCCAAAATTATAATGCCCCGCAACTTTATTCTTCAGCATAATTGGCTATAATTAATTTTTTATTTTTTTGCAAAGGCTCCTCCGAAGCCGAGAAGGTCAAGGCCATGAAGAAGGGCAAGTCTGTTGACCGCAACAAGTACGAGAACTCCCACTACGCTGGTGATGATGACGACAACATCGTCTTCGAGGATTTCGCTCGCCTGCGTCTGAACGAGCCTGATGAGTAAATATGTCGCGACGACGGCAGAGGGAGACGTGAAGTTGCCGATATTTGCATTCGACCACCGTTGAATGTTAATTACGGCAACTCCGGAACATCTCAACTGAGCACTCCCATAAAAACCACATAAAATGAACAAAAAAATTGTAAAATTTCAAAACCTAAAAAAAATTGACCCTCCAAGTAATACCTACATTGACGTCCAACACACTCAAGGTAGTCAATTAGAGATCAAGCCAAGTCAACAAACGAACACAGAATAACTCACCAGAAGTGATTTAAAATCGTGTGAACTAAATTTGAGTTTCTATAGATCTAAACTCGCTCCCTGAAACGCTTTAAGTAAGAAACAACTAAGAAACTTGACAACAATCATGAAAGGAAAAAGAGAATTTGGTGTGTCTGTCGTAACTTAAAAGGGCCACAAGCAGGGAATAGGCAAAGGGTGCTTCTTCGTCTTCTCCGCTTAGAGCTCCGAGCAGTCAAAAGGTGGAGAAAAGAAGAAGCACTCGAGCATCAGTACAGCTTAGTGGTCGTTTTACTTGCGGCCTTTTTTAATTTTTTATTTTTCACTTTTATTTTCCGTATAATTTCATTATTTTCTTTCACATTGTGTTGGTCAGATATTTTGGCTCTAATTTGACTTTTCCTTATTTCTTTAACATCCTGAATTCACCGTTTTCTTGTGTGAAGCATTAATTTTCAAGTTGGAAAAACAGAAATTATAAAAAAAGTAGTCCAAAAATTGTAAGAAATTGTATAAAACAAAAACTGGAATTTCTGGCAAATTAAAAAATGAGCTTTCAATTGGAAGCAAAGTCTGTTTTTTCTTTCCATCGACCTCTTCTCATATAATTTATTTTTGATCAAAAGAAAAATACGATAATATGTGTTTTAATAGATGCATAAATTAAATTAAATGGTCGTCAGTCGTCATTAACAGCATTAATTTTAGAATTAATCCAGTCTACAAAAGATGAAACCTGAGTGTACACGTCAGGGTATGGAGCGATAGTGCAGGGCTCTATAAACCAGGCAACAATGCCAATTTGTGTTCCATTAACAATGAGCGGGCCACCGGAATCTTTCTATTATAATTTACAATTTTAATTTTAATTTTAATTTTTAAATTGTTAATGTTTAATACATTGCATTCTCCTTTTCCACCCCCTGGGACGCCAGCGCAAACGTTATTCGCGTTGTACCTGAAGCCATGGATGTCAAAGCATTCCTCGTCACAATATACAAAGAGGTCTACCTCTTTCAAAACTTCTTGAATGGTTCCACCTGTCTATATAGTAAAACTTAATTTTATTATAATTTTTAATGATAAAAATGTCACACCGAGTCAATTCCCCATCCAATGACGGTCGCGACATCACCTGCAACGGTTTGTTCATATTGCCTAGGCAAAAAAACAGGGGCAATTGAAGGGTTACTGAAGTCAAAAGCAGGGGTGACCTGAAAAGGAAAATTACCAAAATTTATAAGAAAAAATTAAATTATTAATCTCACTCGGAGAATTGCAATATCATTGGTTGATATGTATGGATTCCATTCTTCGTGCTCAATTTTTTCAGTAACCTGGTGCGAGGTTCCTTCCGAAAGAACCACGGAACCAGCGACTACAGTCATGCTCTCAGGAGCGCTTCTATTGAGTTAAGAGTTAATTTAGATTTGTTAAAAAAAATAACTTGCAATTTTAAAACGCAACCCGCTTGACAACGAAATGCTGCAGGTTGCATAAATATGAAGTTATAAGCTTGTACCTGTCGACGCAGTACGCCGCCGTCAAAACATATTCAGCGTTCAGAATGGTACCGCCACAGGAATGAGCACCAAAGATTCGCAGAGAAATCTTCACATTAAAAATTAAAAATTTTATCTTTTAGTAAGTATAATAAAAACCTGGAAAGGATATTTTCCTTGTGGGGCATCGGTTCCATTTACAATACGACTCCCAGTACCTAATTTTGATTAGTTTGTTTAATGCTTAATAATGACGAAATGATGATAAAAATTTACTGACCAAGAGTTGCTGCTTTGGAAATTCCAAGGAAGATTGGAACAAAGAGAAGAGTCTTAAAATGCATGATATTTTCAAAGGACTTCTTTGATTATTATTCGTCTGTGGAATATTATCTTTCTATTTATACTAAAAATTCTGCATTTTGCCGCTGACTGATAAGGGAAAGTGCATCTTCTTATAATATGCGCAATAAAATTAATCTTATTAATTGGTCTAGATTTCATTTTTATCATTTCGAGAAAACATAAGGCACTGACAGAGCTTTATTTATTTGAAGATTTAAAATTATAATTTATTTATTTAAGCAGTTGCAGTAAAGTAACGTATATGTGTTCAAATTTTCCAACATAATTTATTTAATTTAATTTGATCTTTCTGTGGCAAATACTATCTTCTATTTTTTTTAGGAATGTGACGCTTAGAGTGCGAAAAAGCACATAACTACGCTGGTGACAATAATTCAATGCAGGAATATCTGAAAATCTTAATCGAAAATTGAACAAAGAAATTTAAAAAAAAAAAAGTTCTTTGCAGCTTAATTTGATGTTATAAATTATAATTCATTATTTGAAAATATTATTTTAATAAAATATTATTAAAAAAAAAAAAATAAGTTAAAAAAGTTTGAATTTTTATTTTCGCTTTATTTTTGTACGAACATTATTTTATAAATATACAAATAATTAGCTATGCAGTACTAATTTTCGAGTTGATCCAATCAATGAAAGGTGACACTTGAGTATAGACGCCAGGGTAAGGTGCGATCGTGCACGGCTTTATAGACCAGGAGACAATGCCAATTTGTCTTCCATCAACAATAAGTGGTCCACCGGAATCACCCTATTTTTTAAATTTTCGTCATTCATCATATAATTCTGTTAAATATATTTAGTTTAATACATTGCATTGTCCCTTTCCGCCTTCTCTGATGCCAGCGCAGACGTTTTTCGGATTGTACCTGGCGCCATGAATATCATAGCATTCCTCGTCGCAGAAGACAAAAATATCGACCTCCTTCAAAATTTCTTGAATGGTGCCGCCGGACTGTATATTAAAATCAGTTTATTTTAATAAAAAAATGAAAAAAAAATACTTCGTCAAGTCCCCATCCAATGACGGTTGCGACTTTGTCTGCAATTGTTTGGTCATATTGACCTGGCAGTGACACAGGACCTATTGAAGGGTCACTGAAGTCTAACGGAGGAGTGACCTGACGAGGAAAATTAAATTATCAATTTTTTAAACAAATGCAAAATTTTAATTTATCTCACTCGGAGAATGGCGATATCATTGATAGAATCAAATGAAGACCATTTTTCGTGCACAATTATTTCAGTGACTTGGTATGAGATTCCTTGCGAAAGAACAACCGAACCGGCCACTACAGTCAAGCTCCCTGGAGAACGGCTTGAAAATATTTTTTTTTTATCATTTTAAATTTAGGACAGAAATGGTACAAGTCGTGTGACTTACCCATCAACACAGTGAGCTGCGGTCAAAACATATTCATTGTTCAGGATAGAACCGCCGCAAGAATGAGATCCCAAAGATTTCAGTGAAATCTTAAGACAATAAAATTTAAAAAAATCTTAATTTATTAAATAAAAAATTAAAATTATATCAACCTGGAAAGGATATTTGCCTTGTGGGACATCTGTTCCATTTACAATGCGGCTTTCAGTTCCTATTGAAATTAGAAGTTAAAATATAATTAAAAATTAAAACTTAAAAATAAATAAAACTGACCAAGAGTTGCAGCCTCGGAAATTCCAAGGAAGATTGGAATAAAAGGGAGGATCTTGAAGAACATGTTGAATGACGAGAAGTTAAACGAGCTTGTATATTTCCTTAGGGAATCAACCTTCCTTTTATATACGAATGAGATAAACTGCGGCGTAAGTTGAGATTTCAATTGACTGATAAGAGAAAGTGCAAACGCATTTGCATACACGCGCAATACCAGTGAACTTGTAACTCATTTCGTAAGTTACTTCTGTGAATTCATTAATCGTTAGAGAGCATTGACCTTTGGTATGAATATAATCTAGTGAAAGTCTAATATTTTTTTTAATGATAATTTTACAATCTTAACTTTTATGAGATTGCTTTAATTGTAAGAGTAAATTATTATTGTTTTATTGTTGCTCACCGCTCATTGTTGTTCTGGACTCTAATAAAATACTCCTCGCTAAAATTTATTGCGCATAGACTGGCGAAAAAGTCATTTTTTTTTAAACACTACAAAGTAATACAAACGTTCATTATTTGCGAATTAATTTTTACAACAAATAACACACATTTTTAAATTTAAAGTTAATTGATTTAGAAAGCTTTTTTAATTTCTGTATTATTCTGAGATTTTATTCATCTATAATATATTTTGCAGTCTTATTAATTGACTTAATTTCTATAATTGATGCCTTAATTTTTTTTTTAATTAATTTGTTTATTTTTTTTAATCATAGAGTAAATAAATTTGAAAATAAATGAGAAAATTAGTGAAAAATAAAATTATTAAAATATAATGCTGTCACCTTAAAAATATTTATTTTGAAAGTCCCATTAAAAGACTTGTTACATGTTTTTTTTTTTTTTTTTTTTTTTTTTTTTTTTTTTTTTTTTACCGAAGAATTGATTAAATTCAATTTGAATTTAAAATTTTATCTTATGAAAAAATATTACGTGCTTGTGCTATTTTGAACGCAGGCGAACTAAAACAAGTAACAAGTAGTGAAGGTCAGTGTCAGATTAGAGCAAGTCTGATCCACGTGCGCTGTTATGACAGATAAGATGAGAATTTTTGTGCGATTAATTATGCATATTGATTTTAATAATCAATCAGTCAAATGTGAATATAATTAAAACTTGTTGCAATGGATTGCGGAAGTTTTTGTGTGTCATCAGGACTGTCCGTTGACCCGATAAGTGATAAAAATGCAAAATATCATGCGCGCTTCAGAAAGACAACAACTCGAAGGTGGTATATAAATGAGCGGTTCTTTGAAATTCAAATCAACCGCAGCCCCAACACAGCTGAGCAAGATGAAAGCTTTCATTCTCACCCTAGCCATAACAGCAGCGTCTGCCTACAGTAAGTTAAAAGAATACGTTTTTAATTAAAATTAATTTAATTAAATTAAATTTTTAAAAATTATTACAATATTCGTTTTTATTCCAGCCTTGCCTGAATGGCGAGTTGTTAACGGCACTGATGCTCCTCTCGGAAAATATCCCCAATTAGTAGGATTTTTATTTCTTATTTCAAGTATTTTAAATATCTTATTTTATTCGTCCATAGATTTCTTTGCAAAATTACAATTCTCACTCCTGCGGTGGAACAATTCTTAACGAAAACTTCTTTATGACAGCAGCCCATTGCGTTCAAACGTAAATTCTTTTTGGTAAACAATTTAAAAAAAAATTAAATTTGAAATTAGGTCAACCACCTATTTAAAAGCGCTGGCTGGCACAAACGCCCTTGACCAGGGCGGCACCCTGCACCAGGCTGTCCAGATCATCACCCACGAGGCCTACGACCCCCTCAACCAGTGGATCAACGACATCGCCGTGGTCAAAGTGGACCCTCCTTTTGTGTTTGACGAATACACTCAGGCCGTGGTTTTGCCCGCGCAGGACCAGGAGAGCGCCGCTGGATCAACCGGGACCCTCGTTGGCTGGGGCCTGAGCGAAGTAAATTATAATTTTGGATAAATTTTGATCTGATTTTTTTTTTATTCAATGTAGACGGGTGGATTAATAATGAATATCCAGCAAGAGGTTGACTTGGTCGTCTACTCGGACGAGGAATGCGACGCAATCCATGGGGGTAGACCTCACCCTACTAACATTTGCGCTGGAGTTATTGGAGGTGGCAAAGGGCAGTGCAGTGTGAGTTTAAATTAATGTTATTAAATGGTCGGAAATTATGGGGAAAAATACAACCAAAAGATTTTTTCCTTCCAAAATAAATATTCAAAATTTTGCATTCAGAAGAAAAATTTCAAAATTAAAGTTGTACTGTCATCACGAAGGAATGACAAGAAGTAAATTAAGAAATCAAAGATTAAAATATCCTTTTTATGAACAATGTTTGGCTCAAAATTAGAGAAATTTTGTCTCTTTTTTATTTCAATTAATTTATTAAAAAATATTTAATGCATTTTTAAGGGTGACTCTGGCGGTCCGCTCTTTGTGAACGGCTATCAAGCAGGAATTGTGTCCTGGTCAAGGAAACCATGCACGATTGCACCCTACCCAGGCGTTTACACCGAGGTTTCACCCTATGTTGACTGGCTCTTGTCAAAAATTAACTGACAAACAGCAATAATTTTGTAGCGTTTTTATATCCTTTTTTTATATAAAAAATATTAATAAAATGTTTTTGCAATCATTAAAAACAAAGCAATTTTATTTAAGAAAATTTACTATTTTTTTTTTTATGAAAACGGAATGTAAACAAAATCTTTAGTAGTTTAACAACAATATAGCATAGCGTTGCTGGTATTAAAATCAATGAGAATGGAGTAAAAATAGCAGATGAAGAAAGTTCAGTGAACCAGGAATGAGAAACTCCCTGCTGAACGAATTTCCATTTTTCCCAAAAAGCGTGTGATTTGCAGAGCCGCAGCCTGCGTGGTGCACAAAAACCGCGAGAGCTGTATGGATGAGTGACACAGTTGGAGGCGCAACACCGATGACACGCTCGACGGCGCCCTGTGCATCAACCGAACAGGGGAGTGCGCCGGACAAAAATCAGCGTAGCACTTTCTTTTGTGGAAAGCAGGCTGGCTCCTCCTGGCATCCTGCGAGCTTGGTTTTGCACAAGTGACGGAATATAAAGGCGACCGACTCTCGATTAAAGACACAGTCTTCAGAATGATCTCAAAGGTTCAGGTGTGTAAATTCACGCTCACAGGTTTTAATGAGAGATTTACGCTTTTTAATATTCAACAGGTGCTCGTCTTTGCTGCGGTGGTTTGTCTGGCCACAGTTTCGTGCTACAGGAAACCAAGTCATGGTAAATATTTAATATTGATTGATTTTATAATATTAAGTTTTGATAACGAAATTAATATATTTCTTACTGTCATTAAATAATTACAATTTTTTAAAGATCACGGAGATGCTGACGTAGCCGCGACGTCGGGTTTCAGTGGGGGTGGGGGTGGAGCTGGGGGTGGGGGTGGTGGAAGTGGTGGTGAAGGAAAATTCTACCAGTAAGTATAAAATAAAATTACTATTAATAATTCTTTTGGTCATAAAAAAATGCAAATTTTTAAATTTAAAAATATGAAATAGTGACATTTTTCTGCACTGGAAAGCTCCAGACCAGGTTGAGTTTGGTCACATTGCAGAAAGTCCTTCTGACTGGGAGCAAAGATTTGAGAAGAAAGACGGCCACCGCCATCAGGGCAAGGTCTTGGAGATGTTCAAAACTTAGCATGTTGTAGAAAGAAAAACAAATTTAGTAAAAGGAATTTTCATTTAAATGTGGAGCATGAAGTCGTTAAAATAAAAACTAACTAGAAGTATAGAAATAGAAATAATAGCATGAACTGCATGAAATAGGTTTGCCCACCACCCTGAGCACGATCTTTACGAGATGGGCTATCATCGTGGAAATCACCACCACTATCGGGAGAGGCATGAAAAGGCTGCCCCGCATGCTGGCCAATTTAAGACCAAAGTAAGCGAACGCCTGTTGAACTTGGTGTAGGCAACACGCATGACACACAGGTCGAGCGGTTTGCATTTATTCAGCATTGTTTGTGGTTAAAAAGTTTTAGAAATTTATTTTGCTTACTGAACTCTTTGCTCATTAACAACTTGCTTTCAAGGTGCGCTGGGGAGACAAGAAAGGAGGGCACGGCGAACACTTGTGGGACTACAATCACGACGGACACGATGGACATGACGTGAGAATAATTTAATATAATAAGGAGTTCTACATTAATGCTGGTTTTTCTGTAAACAGGGTGGAAACTAATTTTGACGGAAAAGATTTTGCTACAAGAAACAACCAAAGGAAATTCATCCTGATACTCATCTTTGTAATTTTGTCTTCACCTCATTGATTTAGAAAGTTGTTGTTCATTTTTGTGATTTATTTTGTTAAATAAAAAAAGAAAACAAAAATTCTAGTTAATAAATTTTATTTATTTACAGCACCCGTAAATTGTTTTCCCTTTATAAAGACTATTTACAAAATATTATAGAAATATAAAATATTGAAAAATTGCAAACTATCCTGATTTTTGTGTGTTATTTGCAATCATTTCCCTTATAAAATTCAAACTTGCCTCGTCGAAAGAATTTTGTTCCAAATTTGGGTTCGAAATTGAATCTCTTCTATTCCAGTGCTCATATTTAAATCCGCTCTCTCTTTTAGGAGGCTCCATGAAACTGGGAAGTTTGCCATCATTTCTCCTATTTGCATAAAATTCCTGCGAACCGACCGTTTCAAGATCGGTAGTGGAGCTGATATATTTTGGGCCGTAATCAGGCGGAAAAGGGCTTAGCGAAAATTCTGAAGGCGGTTCCAAGGGCTTGGTTTCATTTTTGGTTGCTGGATTCGGGGTTATAGATTCGACTATTTCCCTTGCTGCCATTTCTTCTGGCATAAATTCAGAGAGTTCTACTGGAGATAGCGTTTTAAGTGTGCTAGGCGGCGGTGGATTTGCTGTTCTAGGAGGGCCATTTTTATAAACCGGAGGGCCATTGGAATACCCTGGACGTTGGAGCTTTGGGGGTTGGTACTGGTCAGGGTAGGGGAAGCCAGGAGGAGGTCGTTTTCTTGGTCCTGATTCAAACGTTGGATGATAGAATGGTTTTTTAGAGAAATCTTCCTCGTTTGATTCTGCAGAGGCTGCAGGTTTTGGAGCGGCTGTTCTTAAGACCACTTCAGCTCCTGAATTAATTTCTACGGAGGCTGTAGGTGCAGGTTGCGTAGGTTTTGGAGCTTTTTTCGTCGGTGGCGGTCCCTCGTCTTCATCTTCTGGTTCAGGCACGTAGACTTTCACGTGTTTTTTCGGGGCCACTGGATGCTTGTAAGGAGCGTAATGAGGGTAGGGAGGGTAGGAGTGCACAGGAGGATAGCTATGGTGGCCACTATAAGACTGATAATGAGGACGAGGAAAATAGAGCGGTGGTGGCTTCGGGTACACGTAGTGATAGTAGTGGTGCTTTTTGGTGGTTGCTTCTGGAGTTGTGGTTGGTGCTGGAGTTGTGGTTGTTGTTGTAGTTGTTGTGGGTGGAGGCGGGGGAGGTTCAGTGACCGTCTCCGTGTACTCCTCCACTGAATAACCCTCATCCTCCTCTTCTTCTTCTTCGTAGTGATGTTTGGGGTAAGGTTGGTGATAATTGTGCACAGGCTTGTAATGGTGTTTAGGCTTATAGTGGTGTTTAGGCTTATAATATTGAAAGTGATGAATAATCGTTTTATGTACAGGCGGAGGAGGTGGAGGAGGCGGGGGAGGTGGAGCTGGGGTTTTCGGCTCCTCAGGTTTTTCCGGTTTCTTTTCCTTGGGATAAATTATTGGACCAGGGAAGAAGAGAGGGAAGAAGCCACTTGCTGTTTGGGCACAGGCCACTACGACCTAGAAACAAATTCAAATTAAATTTTATAATTTATAGCTAAATTGCCTATACTTATTGATTATAAAAAAAAACTCAACAATATGCGCAATGAATTTGATTTTCTTATTAAAATGAAAAAAAAATAGTGTTTTCGTCAAATTATTCTAATATTACATATCTGTAATTTTACTATGGAAATGTATTTAGTCATTAAACTCATTACGAATTTAATACAAATAAATAAAAAAATTATTTTTCTTACCAATAGTGAACAAGCAACTCTCATGCTGGTCTCGCGATCAATTGACGAGCAATCGCAACTTCTGAACCGATACTGCGCTCGAGGATGTGTAGATGAAGATGAGAGCGGATAACGGAGAGCGCCAATTAGCACTTCATTGATACACTAGGTCACTGGGCCTGCTTGTTTGACACGTTTGTCTGATCAGATGCATCAACACGTCACATTACGTTGTGAGAACATGAAAGTTTTAAATTAATAATCAAAATATTAAATTTTTTATTATTATTTGAATAATTTTGAAATTAATTAATTTGTAACAATCTAAAGATATCGAATCTCTTCATATGTTTCATGTCTCACAGCCAACTTATTATGAGAAATATTTAAAAAAAAAAAAATCTAAAAAGGTTGATTAAAGATAAAATGAAAATTTTCCAATATAACATAAGAAAAATTTCTATCGGCTATTAATTTTATTTGAAAAAATTGAATAGCTCAATTACCTATTATTTTCAAAAGAAAGAAAAAAAAGGACATTAAAGCACTTATCCAGGAAGAGCAAATCAACTATGTCGCTTCAGTTGGTAAACGCACGTTTTTAGGCAAATAGGCTGATTTCGTTTGTTCTTCTCGCGTTTTCGCACGCTTGGCCGCACAACCACAAGAGCCACGTAAAAACAAGCAGAAATAAAAGAAACCGCCGAGTTCTGACCCATTGGTTCCACAAGCGGCGACCTGGCCTTTTTGCTACCGACATAATGTGAGGTGGAGTCGAATGGTTCTGCATTTTGGCGGTGACAGTTGGCACGATGGTACGGACTCGAAAGCAAGTAGATATAAAATAGACTCGTGGTAGTGAAAATGGCACCAGTTGTGCTTTGTCTGTACGCTCATCGACATGGCCTCTCTCAAATTTGTAAGTACTAATATAATTTTTGAACAATCTTCGAGAAAGTTGAAATATAAATATTAGAAATATATAATAAGACGACAGAATAAGGCATATGTTTTTGATTTAGAAACATTCATTGTATGTAGGTATCAACTTTTTTTTATATAATATTATTTATAAATCTTTGTTTAAATTATATATTATTTCAAGCTTTTATCGATACATAAAATTCCAGTTTTAAATTATAAAAAAAATAATATTAAATTTAACTTTATTGTTTGAAATGTAAAAATATTATATTATCTCATTTTCTTTTGAATTAAAGTTTTCAATTTTAAGTAGTTAATTTAATAAATTAAATATACTAAGTAAGTAATTTTTTGAGTTGCAATTTAAAAAAATTTAGATGATTGTCTTGGCCGTGGTGCTGATCGCCACCCTGAGCACCGTATCAGCCCGAATATATCTTCTTGAAATCGACGACGGTGAGTCTGTTTTAATTTTTGTGTACAATAATACTTTTTGGAAGAGCTTCAAATGGTTGGAGATGAAATTGACATTTTATTTGAGCCTACCTTTTTGTATGATGTTGTTGTGGACCGCAGAGGACGCGATGATGAGGCACAAAAGACAGGGGTTCAGGGCGCCGTACGAGGACCGGTACAGGGCAGTGCCGTCGAACCACCGTCCGACGCACGCCGCAAAATCAGGTGGAGGCGTCTTCTCCTTTGTCAAGACCAACAAACACGGGCACGTCTCGTGGGGCGTGCGACACCCTGCCGGACGTCAACACCACTGACCTTGAGACTTGCACGATAAAAAAAGACCCCCACCACGCACAAATTATACGATTTTTTTATGAAAGCAAAATGTGCTCACACAAGAAATTTCCCCAAATAGGTACACAACTATATATTTTTTTAAATAACTGTAGAAAAAACTTACAATTTAATAGTAAAAATAAATTGCATGGTTCACAAGTATTTTTTTATCGCTGCCAAGGTTGGGCAAAGTCGCAAAAGCAATTTTGCTTTTTTGATCATCGTTTTTTTTAATAACTTTAAAATATTGATTGAATTTGATCTTTTGCTATTTTTTTCGCGTTATAAATAAGCAATTCCGACCTTTTACAAGGTCATCAGAGTTAAATTAATTATAGAAAAAAAGAAGAAAATTTAAACATAATCACGAAATTTAAAATATTATTTTTTTTTCATTCCTACCAAAAACTAGTGAGTAATTTAAAATTTTCCAAAAATATTATTTCCCCGCAAAGGATTGTGTCCAACCTTGTACTCTATTAACTTGAACGCATGACTTTTAAGTTATAAAACATAATTGACATAGACCCTTAACACTTTAGACTGTTGACTGATTGGGGAAAGTTTAAAACGGTTCCTCCCGTTCGGCTTGAAAAGCGGTTTGCATGTTATAATAGGGCTACACTATAAAAAAAATGGCACAAAAATATCATTCTAACAAGATGTAGTGCATGTTCGGAGCAAATTGTATAAATATAATTTTGCTAAGTAAAAAGGACACTGGAACTATCATTATGGAACCAATTTTCATCCATATGATAGTTTGATAACTAATTTCTATAAATTTCTTTAGAAATTTTTCAGAATGGTTGAATAAATAGGATTGATTGCATGCTTTTAAATTTAATCTGATTATTGAGTTTAAAGTTTAATAGAAAATAATTCAAAAAATATTAAATTATCTATTATAATATTTTTTTTGCGTATTTTTCAGGACAAGAATTCCAGGCGCGAATCCAAGAGGAAGCCCCTCTGAGCCGCGCTCGCCGCAGCCCCGGCAAAGAAGGGGTGGTCGGCCCCGTGCACACCTTTGTGAAGACTGACAAGCACGCTAATTTCAAGTGGGGTGTCAAGCACCACGTCGGCAAGCAGTACGCTGGCTAAATTTCCCAAACTTGCTGATTGACCCGTGATCTCATCAATTTTGTCGCGTCCGTCTTGTGAAACTGTTTTTAGATTTTGAAATTAAAAAATCTGTTACATACTGAAATGTTTATGATATAAACAAGGATGAACGCGATCTCAAATTTTTGCGTCGCGATCAGCGGCAGTGTTGCGATCTGCGATCGCGATCGCGATCCTGTAAATTTAAAAACATGCGATCGCGATCATGCGATCTTGCGATTTTATTGCGATCATTTCTTAATATACTGCATTAATTATTTGATGGCCGATTTATATCATATAAGTTTGTCTTTTGTTGTTATGCATAAATTTTTTCAATAAAAAAGGTTTACAATAAAAAATTTAATTTTGTTGTCAGCAATATTACAATATATTTTGTTATAAATAAAATTACTATAATTTAAAAATCATAGTTTTAATTGATAGAAGACACTGTAATGTCTATAATTAGGTACAAAGCGACATAAAAAAATTATTACTTGAAATCTTCCCAATTTAAAATTAAAAAAAAAATGTGAAATTTATACTTTTTCTAGCAATATGAACGGATAAACTTGAATATTATTAAAATAGCCTTCTGTTATGTTGAGTACTTTAATGATACTAAATTATTTTTCAACTTTGATGGCTCAGAATGCTGAGAATTACTTTTTTATTTTGATGTGATTCACTTGTGACTAATTGGCGAGTCAAGCATTTGAGCTTCGGATTGATTGATGGCCTTTCTGCGAGATAATATTACACGACGAGATTATCTCACATGTCCATAACATGCGCAGCAAGCAACCCACACAGGTGTGGCTTCCCCATTGAATACAAAATAAATAGCTTTCCTATCTCGGTTCATTCAGCCCGAAGTGAAAGTGATTTTGGATGGAGAAAGGTGTGTACAATCTTCCGCTAGATTTTCACGTTTTTTTTTTATTATCTTCGAGCAGTACAGAGAAAGCTGCCGCTAAACAATCTGGAGCGGCCAACGAGAGTAAAAGTGGTGCAGCACCTGACCATTAAAATGAAACTCGTCCGAGGCTTTAGATATATTTTTTATACAAATTTTTATTTCTCCATTCATGCTCTCCACAGAGAGTATACAATAATTGTCACATGTTCTTTTCACTTAAATTAATTAAGGAGGAGGGATTTTCGCGAGCAGTCACACTGAACGTGGGAAATTTTGAGTCTTTTCAGTTTGGGGGGGGGGGGGACGAGAATTTGTGCAGTTTTGAGGCTCGTAGGCTTGCCCTTTGGCAACTCAAACTAGCCTTGGTACTGCTGAGGGGCGGCCTGCTGCTGGTACTGCTGAGGCTGGGCCTGTTGGTACTGTTGGGGCTGCGCCTGCTGGTACTGCTGGGGGGCATATTTTCTGGCGGGGGCGGCAGCACGCTGGGCGGCCAGGGTGTTGGCGGGGGCGGGGGTGGGAACCAAAACCTTGATGTCGGTGGGCTCACGGATAACCTCAGCCTGGGAAATTTGCAAATATCATTGAAATTATGAATAATTTGAAAATAAGCAAAATTAAAGAACCACGAAGGTATTTATTTGCATTGATTAAATTTGAAATTTAAATATATTTTATGCATAAGTTAGGGGAATACCGTAAAAATATATAACATTGTTAGCAAAATTCGTGCTAAAATAATTAAAAACTTTAATTCAATATTAATTTCCAAAATATTGCCGTTTAAATACTGAATTAATTAATTACGTAGGGACATTTGATGTTCAAATTCATTTGGCTAGAAAATGGAAGGCTAAAAACTTTAAATTTTTTATGTACCAAATAGTTCAAAAGTTTAACCAAACAGAAAATTTTGAAAAAAAGCTCATAATTTAAGTCCTTTAGTTTAATAAAATGAATTTTTTAATAAAAATTTTACCTTGAATCCCTCAGTGGGGTCAGCGGTGTAGGTGACAGTGCGGATGTATCCGTCAGAATCGACGACGCTGTAGCTACCCTTGATCTGGTTTCCCTCACGCGATTCCTTGCGGTTCTGGTAGTTGGTGTTCAGATCGTCCTTAACGTCGAAGGAGAAGTTGTAAGCGGGATTGGGCTGAAAACAGAATTAACATATTTTTTACTCCTATAAAATTTTTGGTTATGCAAGCTGGTGTGAAAGCCGGCCTATTAAATTATGCAAGCAAGTGACATTTGAGCGGTAAGTAGATTTGACATTTAAATTCACTCTGGTTCGAATCGCGATTTATCTCGGAAGCCCGCGGGGAGTAATTAGTAGGCGCGGCGATTGTAAGCAAGCGATGAATGGAACTGATAATTTATCAAGGCTGCCGGAGAAAGTAGTGAAGGAGAATGATTTTGCTAACGGTTGATCGAGCTCATCAATATTGGTTCTCACGGAGATCTGATTGCATCATAAAAGGAGCAGTGAAATGAAAGGTGTGAGAAAACTCGTAACTTCCAAGATTAAATCGTGAAATATTTTTTTCTTAAATTTCAATTGGTAACGATAAAATGATAATTTTAACATTTTTATTGCAATAAATTTTGTTTTGAATAAGTAAAAACTGGTAAAAACTAATATAAATTGAACGTTATTAATTTTTTTTTTTATAATTTTTGGAACTTACGTCGTAGTCTTCCTCAAGGGGCTGCTGCTGCTGTTGTCCAGCAGGACGACGAAGGGCGGCAGCGGGCTGGGGACGGGACTGAACAACCCTCTGGGCAGCAAGGGCGTCACGCTGGTAGTCCTGGATGGGGTTGGCAGCGGGGGCAGGAGCGGCGGCGGGGGCGGCCTGGCGGTAAGCGAACTGGGCAGGGTTGATGGCCACAGGAGCGGGGGCGGCGGCGTAGGCGGGGGCGGCAGCATAAGCGGGGGCGGCAGCATAGGCTGGAGCGGCGCGATAGATGGTCTGCGGCAAGAGAAATCAATAATAATTACTTGGCGGATAAAAGGAAAAGTAATTAATTCCGATCGAAGAGCGCCTAGTTTGGAATTAAAAACTTTTATTGGAGAAGACTGCAGGGGAATTAACTTTCATTTCCGGCCACACTGGGTTTGCTTTAGTTTCAAACTGACGAGATTTCTCGTGATTAGCAGGTTATTATTTTACGATCGAGGTTTATAATTTTCAGACTGGTTCTGTAAGCGGCAATTGGATAGAAATTGTAATAAAATGCACCTTTCATTCATTAAAAAAAAATTAATTTGGTATAATTATGAAAAGTGGCCGCTAAATTGAAGGTAAAATAATCCTTTCTCTTTAAAGAATGAATAAAATATAGAAATCTGCAAAAATTATACAGATCAGCATGATGTTATTTTAAAATTTGAAATTGGATTAAAGATAAAATAGAACAACAAACTTTATATGCATGAATTCTATAAAATAATGAGTGCAATTTTTCAAATTTAACTTTTACAAACTTCAGTGATTGTAAATTAGTTTAAATACTTTTTATTCAAAAGGATTAATTAAGTAATACCCAAAATTAAAATAAAATTCGTTGGAAACTAAATTGTGATAAAAGGTAATATTCCAAAAAAAAAAAATAATAAAATTTATATTCAACGAAATTAATTAAATCATCAATTGCTTCAAATACCTGCTGAGGAGCGGCGGCCAGTTGCAAGGGTTGTTGGGCGGCGGGGGCGGCAGTGCGGTAGATGGTAGGAAGGGCACGAGCCTGTTGGGCAAAACCGGCGGGCAGGCCGGGGGCGGCAGCGATGTACGTGGGGGCAGGTCCTTGGGCCACGTACTGCTGAGGTTGCACGGGCACCACACCAGCGTGGGCCAGGCCCAGGGCCGCTATCAGAAGCGTCGCCTGAACAGACAAATAAAAGTCGCAGGTGAGTAAAAAATTTAATGAAAAAAAATCTCAGGGCAGTCGGACTCACCTTCAACATGTTGGTGTGCGTTTGCTTGGAGAACTAAAATTACTGCAGAATGTCGATCGGAGCCGCCGGTTTTATAGGTAACGAGTGGCTGCATATCACGGTGGGCGGGGTGTTCGGAGAAAGAAGAAAGAACGGCAGGACCCGTTTTCAGAATATACACGTACGGGAAGGTACTCTCACCAGAGGTAGGGTGTGAGGATTAGTTTACAGCCGCTTCTATTAATAATTATATGAATGTGAGTCTACGGCACGTCTGGTCAATATATTTAGGTTTTATATAAAATATTAATATTTTCCGAATATGAAATATAATTAATTAATTATAGCAAATTGACTTCCTTGGCCAGATATAGAATGTAAATCAAGTTAACAAATTAATTTAAACGACGACTTTTTCAAAAGCGCAGTATATAAATTGAAGTAAATTGATCAATTTTATGATAATAACCTGTTGAAATTAAAATTCTCTATTAAAAAGAGGTGAAATTCCAGTCGAATTTCAAAAAGATTATTCTCAGGCAAGGTTATTTTCATTTTTTTTTTTTTTTTTTAATAAAAGTTTGTTTTTACAAGCATACTTATCTTTTTTTAAACTTTATGCAAGTTCAAATACAATAAACCATAAGGATAAAATAAAATTTCTATTTTTAATTATTTATTATAAAAGATCTGTTTAATTGAAGCTAAAATAATTTCAAGAAGAAGAAGTTGCAACGATTAACGATTTAATTTTTTATCACTTATTTCATAAAGGTTTCAAAGAGTAAATCAATATAAATTTTAATATGCAAAAAGTTATAAAAAGCTTTAAATTTAGCAGTAGTCTACACACATGCATTTATGATTTGAAATTTAGTTTGAATTATTTATGTTAAAAAATAGTTTTTATTTAAATAAATATTTGTAAAATAAAAATAAAATTATTTAATTTTAAAGAATATAAAATTTTAAGTTTTAATATGTATTTAAAAAATTATAAAAGCGTTATTATATTTTGAACTAATTAATTATAATTGAAAATTATTTTAACCATGACTAGCTCCTGACTAGCTTGCTAAGAATAAACAACAATAATATGCTTCTAAGTTTTGCAAAAAAATATTTACGGAGAGATACCAACTTTAAAATATCAATCAAATTTTTGCTACGAAATTGTTTTGGTGATATTAAAACAATGTGTAAGATCATGATCTAATATCTGGAAAGGAATAAACACTTGATTGTTTCAAGAAACTACAATACACATTCAATTATAGATTTTCACTTCAGCAATTGATGTTAATTTTTATGACTTATAATGTTTAATACAAAAAGAGTTTTCAGTGCACAACTACCAGTTTTGCATAAATTATTAATCGACATGAAACAGCTGAGAGCTGCATGAAATTGGGTCTCTTGGTATCGTGTTGTCTGTTGGGCATCTCGAATGACCTGCACCTGCACGACGAGTTTTATTTCCTTATTCAGAAAACAAACGCCAGCCGGCCGGTGAGCAAATAAAGTAAATAATTGCGCTATAGTTTAAATTAAAAAAAAAGGACGGCTTCATAATTGTCGCGGCTAAATAGAAATAATATAGCCTTTTTGGGGACGATTGATTTCACATGAGCAATCAGGGAATTATTTTTGCGTAACGCCGTCAACCGCAAATGACTCTAAATTTTGCTTCCAGCCAAAATAGAATTTAATACAGAATATCCGGAAGAATTATCAATTTGAGGGAGTTGATTAGAAAGAAATTATTTTGCAAGACGCCGATTAGTAAAACAACTGTTGCAAAATTTATAATTTTTATTTCCAAGTACCAAACCATTGATTATAGTTGCAAAGAAAATGTTGATTTTTTTTAGTTTAAACTAAAATCCATTCTGACATTCGATATGATGTGTGTCAATCTGTACAAAATATGTGCAACTAAAAATTAATATTTTTTAAATTTCTAAAATAAAAATAGATTTTTAGTTTTTGGAGAGTTATTACTTATATTATAAATTCTTTTATAATGATTAATGAAAACTGTGTGCCGACTTTATTATAATTTTCAAAATAGGAAAATCGTGCATATAAATTAAAAAAAGAAAACTCCTCATAGCGAATGCCAATTATTAGCTTTTATTAACTTTTGTAGTTACAGGAGAAAACATAATGGAAATGTCGGCGTTATTGAACTGCACGAGCCAGCAGTAAATCAATCAAATTAAATTATTTGCCATTCTCCGTTCGGGCAAAGAGTTCAAGTAGGGTGTGTGCAAAACTGTGGGAGAAGATTGATTCGGCCTGATATGCAATTTCACACTCGCCGCGTTCGCAGTGCACAAAGGGTTATAATATTAAAATCAGAATTGAACAAAACGGTCTCGCCCTCGATTCATCCCAGATGCATTGATGCGATTTTACATGCCTGGAGCTATATTTTTTTTCTCTTCTGGTGAAAGAAGAAAGAAAAAAAAACTACACCAGGTTATAACATTGGTTAAGTAATGGAATGGAACGCGAGTAGGCGGACCTCTCTGCAGCATGACTGGTCAATAGAGGAAAAAGAAAGAAATTGGCACGTGGACCTTCAGACTGTTTGTTTCTTGAGCAACTCGCGGCTGCCGAGGTGGACCTGCGAATATTTTTGTAGAGTTATTGTCTGGCTGGGGAGTGGAGCATTTTATTTAAGCATTTCTTCCATCAATAAAAAGAACACGCAAAAAAATTTAAGAGACTGGTGGATTGCTTAACGAGAACAAATATTTATAATCTTTTAAGTGGCTTTTATTTCAACAAAGATAATGCAGAATTTTTTTTATCTCCATTTTTATAGTAGCAAACAAAAACAATTTTTAAAAATTTGATTTGATTGAAAGAATTGACTTAATAAAGTACATAATTTCTTCACATTTTAATTGAATAATTTTACCTTTATATAGAATTTAGGGAAAAAAGATTGCAATTTCTAGTATTTAAAATTTTCTTTTGGATTTACTCACGTCAGATCCGTTTGATCAATATTGTTTTTTTAACAATATTTTTCTAATCATTTATAAATTTACTCATAATCAGCGGATCACTTTAGTTTTAAAGAAAAGGACAACAGAGGCAATAAAGTAATACTTTTTATCAAATTACCGCAAATTATAATATATTATGGGGTTATATTTATATTTAAAATGAAGGAAACCATTTTATATAACGTTTTTTATTTATATGTTATATGTAAAGGCTCAATAAAGTAAATATAAACTAATAAATTAAATTTCTTATTATAAATAAAGTAATTAGATTTTATTAAATAAATCTACAAAATTTGTAAAAGTATTATTTATTTAATTATATTAAAATAAAAAATTATTATTAAAAAATATTTAAACACTTAGTTGCTTAAATGTGCAGCTATATCAAACAAAATTATAAGTTATTATACAGCTCTAAATTAGTTACAAATTTGTGTTTATTAATGTATCAAATTATTCAAATACTTGAAAATAAGGTTAATACTTATATTGCAAGTGTGTTGCTTGATATCAGAATTGCTCATCTTAAAAACGACATACAGTCTCCATTTTTTATCTTGTATATAATTATATTATCATCTGAAGAAGATTTCACCAAGAATAAATTCGCTGATCTAGATCTAACAATGTGTGCGATACGTTTTACTCTGCACAGTTGCTGAAAATGATCGCAAACTTTCAAATTCCTCGCACGAAAATACGAATGATCGTGGTATGTAAACTTTAAAATATTTGATAAATGGACGCAATTAATTTTTCTCACTGGTGCGAATTTATATTCCGTATCGGCAGTCGGGCAGATGCGATGATTATACGCTCTCGATATTGACACACATCGCGCCGAGGTGCCATTGACATTGCTGCTCGAGCGTTGGGATTTCTTTCCACTTGGGTGCATAAAATACATATATTTGTTCCCGCGAGTGAACGCATGTGCGAGAATTGAATGCGCTCGAAAGGAAAAAAAATCCAAGTGCAGCACAATAATAAAATCGTCTCTCTCGTTCGGGGATAATCACGTCTCGTTTCACGTCAGGGGCAATAACGAGCAACTATATAAAGAATTTTACTCCGAGAGCATTAACGAATGCTCGCATTAGAGTTGGCTCGGATGCAGGCCCCACCGGCAAACACTTTCACAAGAGCGCGCGCGGCAGTGATCCCACGACCCGTCGACTTCCGCAACTCTTTTTCACCTACACTCGTGTATGGCTACTTTATTAGCACAAATCTCTGGCATGGTACTCGCCGCAAATCTGGTAAAAATACATATTAAACTTAACTGAAAGATGCATGGTATGTAAAATTTAAATAATATTCAAATATAATATACCGATAAGTTAAATAAAACGTATGTTTAAAAAAACGACTTCTTTACCAGGTATTTATACTATAGCTGCTGTAGATGATCAAATCAATGAAATTTTTAGCCGAAAAGGTATTAAATTTTTTTACACTAAAGTGAACAAAATCAGTCATTTTTGTAATTAAAACGCATTATAAAAATATATAGTAAAATGTTATAAATTTGTGACTTTTGACCGCAAACCTGCATACAGTTTTAATCCAGACGGTATATTATTTATTTTATTCAAAGAAGTTGAAACTTGAGGAGATGAATTTTAATTTTTAAATTTTACATTATAATTTAGCATCTATTCAAATTTTTAGCACCTTAAAAGCACTTCAATGCAATTGCGATGCTAAGTCTCTAAATTGGTATTGAATTAGAAAGGTTTTTTTTCTTTTACAGTCCTTCGAAAACCCGGAAAATTTTCTAAATCATGTAAAAACTGACTAAAATAAATTAATTATTTTGCTTAAAAAAGCAGTGAAATTTGCAATTATCTAATTGATTTTTTTCCGCATCTTTTTTCTTCCAAAAATTGTATCGTTCAAATGTGTTATAGAAAAATAACAATGTTTAATAAATTTGGATAATTGCCAGACATTTTTGCACCTCTCGAAGAAATTCAATGCAAGTTCTTTCTTTTTCTTTTCACTCTCTCGCGAGCATTTTGCAACTATGAAGGAAGTGTCCTTAAAAAAATTGCCACCTCGGTTAAGTGAAACATACACGCGGTGGCTGTGCGATCTAATTGGCCCCGATGGTTGGTCACATTCATCTTATTTGGCACGACTGGCTGTGCTCTCGAAAAAAGCGGCGTGCGGTTTCGTCAATAGAAAGAGGAGCTCCGTGCCCCTCTCTGGCGATATTTGGCAATACACGAATTCGCAATTTGCGAAGACGTCGCCGACCACCTAGCTGATTGCACCTCATAAATAAATTATGCTGTCTCGAGTCTCAACTTGACTCTCCTTTGCACATACATTAAAAAATATGAAAGGTAGTGGATATTTTTGAGCTATTGACATTTTTTTTATTTTTCATTTTAATGCATTCATAAACAAGATCTGCTTTCCTACATCTGTTGAGAATAATTTTTTTTAAATTCCAGAGTAATTCACAGAAATACTGCAGAGATTTTAAATTAATCGAATAAAACAAAAAACATATATATTTTTTTTGTACTGGAAAAAATTCAATAAATAAATAAATAAATTAGAAAAGAATATTATTTTTAAAGAAAACAAAATTAAAAAAAATTAATTAAAGTAAAATGTGATTTGTATATTTTCAATGAAATAAAAATTAACAATTGGAAATTTTTTGCTTATTGACGTTTCTAGTCTATACTGACAATTTTTAAGACGACACACGTAAGGCAAATTAATGAGAGTCCAATAAAAGATGGAACTGCGTTGCTCTCAATTGACATCAACATTAAATTACAATTAGACAGAAAGGAGCAGAAAGTGCAGTAATTATTCTAACAAGTGTGACGATTTTATGGCTTGTTCCCTCAGGTTACGACTTGCCATTTGTATATTTTTCTTAAGTTTGTATAAAAATCTGTTCACCGTTTGCTTTTAATTTATCATTTACAATGAGAGAGCTAGAAAGCCGCACCGCTTTTACCTTTAAAAACTAGCTAACATGATTTGTTTCCGACAACGCATCTATGTGTAAAAGCGTGACTTTGTGCAAAAATGTGCTAAATTTATGGACTTTATGTGTAATTGGTTTTTCCGGTGAATTAGCAAGCGAGCACTTTCGTTTTTGTTAAAATGTATATTGAATAAGAATAATTTTACAACTTCACAGGAAGAAAACACCTGCTTAAATACTGGAAACAATACGCCATGGTTAGAATCTGGAAAAGGTCCAATTGCACTAGCTAACTCATTTTTAATTATAATGTTATAATTGTACAAGCTATTTGAAGCTGAATTATTATAAATTTTGCAATATAAAATTTTTTTTCTACAAAAATTAGAGTCATAATAGTTTTAAATTTTGAATATGAAATTTAAAACAGAAGTTATTAATTATAATAATGTAAATATAATAAATTAAATAAAATTTAATAAAAAATTTAATTTTATATTTATATAATTTGTACTAATAAAAGTTGTTTTAAACATGTAATAACTTTATAAAAAAGGAGATAGAATGTTAAAATCATTTCAATGATAAGTTTATAGCCTAAAAAGGGCCTGTCAATTTACTACTTTTTTTTTGTAATTGGCGGGATTATTTTAACACGAAACAAAATTGTGTTTCATTTAATCATAATTATATTTTATTCCATCTCTTCTTTACAATGAGCTGCTCTAAACAGAGTTGTGCTACATAACATACTTTTTTTCCAAGCAGCTGTTGCTCATTTACACCATTGGTTAATAGTAAAAATAATATTATTATGCATTTCACATTGCTGTGTACCTATGATTTTCTTACGCCTTGCTCAGATGGACATGATTTTTTTTTTTAAATTTTTACATTAAATTACAAAGACTCTTGTTATCTAAATTAGCCATACCGAGAAAGAGGGGTGTGAGTGAATTTTTGCATTATATTTCACAACAACAAAGGGTGACGGGCAATAAAAAGTGGCTGCGTGTGCGAACGTCTCTTTTTGCACGAGAGGCTCCAAAGAATTTTTTTCCGTGAATATAAATATATATTTATAATTTTAATCATGTAAGCAACAACAATAATGGAAATATCCAGTAGGATTAGATACACCAGTCTTTATATTATCAAGTAATTTAGCAGCTATTTACATCTCGTCATTATGTGTATTGTACATTCCTAGAGTTTATTATTTCCATTAAAGTTAGACCCTAATATAATTTAATGCAATGGATTTTACAACTAAGACATTATACAAGATGTCACAAGGGGGCAAAGTTATATTTGGAAAACAACAAAACTTAAAAAGTACAAAAAAGACTTCTTTTGAAATTTCCTTCAATTGAGGCAGGCGTCACTGGATCTCCCAGCATAGTGTTTTTTTTTCATGTTAATTTCTGTACAAAGTCTACCGTCGTACACTTTTCACTTTGGTTAGCGGAGAAAACCAGTGAGTAATTATTATTGAAAATTTTTTCAAACCATATAAAAATGATGTTTTATGGCACAATTCCTGATTGAGAAAAATGTTTGTATTCCGCAGGCGACGATAGTAGTAGAAAACTTTGACAAAGTATAAATTTGGAAAGTGTTTTTTATATTTTTTGTAGAGTTAGAAATTGTTCCTTAGTAAGTAAACAAAGCCGTGCGTGTGATACGGAATGCGCAAAAAATTTCTTCTTGCCGTAAACAACACCCATACAAGTTGAGACAAACATAAATAATTCATCGCTTCCGGACTCGCCAAAACTTATGTATTTATACATCGATCTTTGGAACTTTTAATATACTCAAGAAGCGTGGCCGGCTGAAATCGGGCGGTTTGTCGATAAATTCACATCACAATGAAACCCACAGCAAGGCCAACACAAAACATCCAAAAGCCCAAAAGGTTTTTTCTTTACTTAAAATGTGTGTAATGGAAAAAAATTAGTGTTTTAATTCAGAAAGGGGTGCTGAGAGTGTTAAGGTCGTCGGCTGTGAAGGCAGTGATGGTGCTCATTGTCCCCCGAGACCTTGCCTCTTCTCCTCTTCTAACATGGCATCCAACTCATCTGTCAGGTTAGCTAACATGTTGCCGATGTCATTGAGAACGTCGGCTGGCTCCTGGCCTTCGTCGGGCCTACTAAAAATTCAATTTGTTAAATTAATATAAATTCTCTAAAAAATTATCAATTATTTACCTGTATGAAAGTGGACTTGGTTCCTGAACAGACTGCGACTTTTGCACCCTTTTAGGGGATGAAAATTCTGGAAAAGGAATAAAAATTATTTAATTTATAAAATGAATTCAAAATAATTAAAATGCCAACTAAAAATTGGCTAATTTCTCCAGCAGATTTTATAGTAAAAAGTATATTTCCTTTAAGAAAAAAAATATTTATAAAATATAACGTTTCCTTAAAAGATTTTAGATCCCTTTTGCTACAAAATAATCAAATTTCCAACTCAAATCAGAATTAAAAAAAAAAAATAATAATTATTGTGATTCAAATGATATTGGTTTAATCATTGAAAATTTTTTATATTGCTCAAATTTCTATAAATATACAAACCTGGATTAGGAGGCATTGGTCTGTTTGCCCGCTGCTTTATCGTCCCAGCATTTTCATTTGCAAATGGCAAGGAATCAGACTCGGTGCTTGAGCTTGACTGCAAAAGAACAAAATTTATTAAATCAAAATATTCCCAGATTTGAAAACCGACTCTGTACCTTAAAACTGGCATCAGAGCCATTCCTATTCTGCTGCATGGCAAGGCTGCCAATGAGTTCAGTCTCGTGCATGTCCCAGCCCTGATGTGGGGGCTGCTGCCTGTTGCTGGCCAGGGTCAGGGCTTCTAGCTGTTGCCTGGCAGCGGTGATTCCATTCTGCTCTGAAGTCATCACGGGATGGTCCATTCCATCACCTTATTAAAGTTAAAAATTAGAATTAAAATGAGTGAATGGAAAAAATCATTAAAAAATTAATACAAAATAATGTGTCAAATTTATCAAGTTGTGGTAAATGTAATTTAAAGAAGAATTAAATTGAAAAGGCAATTAGAAAATACTTCTAAAAAGTTCTTTAGTCTTTCCGCATTCAATTGCAAGATTTTTTTTTAAAATAAAATAGTTCAATAAAACCAATTGAAATAAATTTTACCTGGTCTGGGGAACCGTTTTGGGGGCGACGGAGGAGGTAGTCTTTGACATGAGGCATCGAACTGGACAAAATATTTCTCGCGCTCAGTCAATTCTCTTGGCAGGCTTTTGTAGGACAGCGGTGGAGGTATTGATTTGATTTCCTGTTTGCAAAACTGATCATTTGGCTGCGGTCTTGTTGCCATCACCTGTTGAAAATATTCATCAATTAATTGGACAAAGTAAAAAAAAAATTAATTGAGAATTTCATAGAAATGAGAAATTTAAATTAGCATAATGTTCCCAGGTTGCACTCAATTATCCCAGAGAAATTTAATTGGATTATCTAATTTGCATTAAAATTTGAACAAATCAATTTAACTACAACAGAAATTGGTGTATTTCAAATTAACAATTTTTTTATTATAAATTTGGTGCATATTTCTAAAAAAATGAGGTTATTTAAAAAAAAATTATTTATGGCACTTTGAATTTGACTGAGACTAACCTTTGCCACAGGTCTTGGCTTGGCCATTCCCCTGGGCCTGGGAAGGGTTCCTCCTCCCTCATGCAAAGCGGCCATTGCGACCTCATTGGTCGGCGTGATGTCCCCATCGTCGTAGCTGCGGGGCCGCCAGCAGGCAGGTCCAGGGCCAGGCGCCAGCACCATTGGCCTCGGATGGATCTGAACTTCGGTAGCACCAAAAGTCGTGTAGCTCGGCTGTTCCTCTTGACCCTCCAGACTCTCCAGGGACTTTCCCCGAGCGCCTCGAATCTGCAAAATCAAAACGATTTGAGCAAAATGCAAATGTAAATTTAGTTTCTCTTGACATTCGGGATTGCCGGCTATAAAAGGTCAGAGGTTAACAGGCAAGGCGAACAGAAAGAGGAAAGGCGTGACCGTACCTTGATGGGCACAAACTCGGGATAGCTGCAGATTTGGGCGGTGGTGACGAACTGGTGCCTCTGCATGTTGAAATTGCCCATGTGCTCGCCCTGCAGGATTCGGTCGCCCCAGTTGGGCCCTGGCGTGCCGCCGGGCGGGAGCAGCTGCAACTGTTGGAACTGCTGTAAGGAGGGCGCCATGCGGTGGAAAGTATGGAACGAGGAGGACGTTAAACACTCATGCTGCGAGTAGTCAGTGCCCATGGTCGTGATCAACACATCCTGAATGAGAGAGGGGAACACAAATGGTCAGCATGGCAAAAGAAAAGTTAATAACGTGTGTGTCTGTGCACCTAACGCCTTTTCCATAATCTTAGGGCTGAGCGTCTCAGTCGATTATTTCAGTAAGACTGAAGTAATTAAGAATAATCAAAAGTTTTTAATTAATTTTGGAACCAAAATTTTATTAAAAATAAAATTTTTTAGTTTATTTTTAAATTTAACTTCTCGTTTCTAGTCTAATGGCAACATTTTGCCAAACGTTGCTTTAAATTATTAAACTAGCCAGCACAAGATTTTGAGAAAATTTAGTCTCACTCAGCTTAAGCCACAATAAATTACAATATTTGTGCTCATATTCATTATATTTTTAAAAATTATTAAAAGTTCAGAAAAAAAACAGTAGATTGACTGAAACGCTTAGCCTTAGTTTATTTCCTTTGATTTGATGAATATGATAATTTCAAAAAAGGCATCTTGGTACTGAAATAAAGTTAAATGTGTTCAAGAAAGAGGGACAGAGGTGCTAAGGTCAGGTCCATGCATTTCCTAGCAGCTTATGTAGGAATTCTTCTAAAGCATTCGTACATTAAGAAATGGGGTCCATATTATATCGGGGTCGGGGGTGCCGTGGCCATGCTACATTTTTCTCCAGTTAGCACAGCAAGGCACAGATAACAAGCGTTCTTAATCAGGGACGTAATGATTTTGAATTCTGCCAAATTGATTTCAGTTGGCAAAATCCAACGTGATCAGATGAATATGAAGTGAATGAAAAGCAAATCAACGAAATAATCGGCAGCACTTTTTAATTTCTGTGCTTTCTTGAGCGAATTTCCTTCGCATTCCCTTCGGGTGAAATAATGAAAGCTGCTTGCTCAGGTGATGGATGGATTTTTTGTATGTTTGTGTGAGATGAGATATGTGCAAATGAGTGATGCGTACTCTGAGAATCCTTGAGCTCGGGCTCACCTGGTGCGGGTAGCCAGGCAGAGGTCTTTTGCCCGCCTGGATATCTTTGACCCTTTTGATGGCCAACAGAATTTTCTTCTGGTGGCCCAGTTTGACGATGCCTGTGTCCTCCAAGTCTTCCCACGCCAGTTGGGCCGCCTGTTCCACGGTTTTGTAGCCCTGCTGGGCCAGGCCGTGGCCATATTCCTCCAAACGCAAGATCCGCAGCCACTCTTCCAGTGAGCCCTGCAAGTTGAGAAGATTTAGAAAACAACGTCAATATTGAAAAAAGTAAATTGTTATTTTTTTTTCAAAATTTTAAAATTGTAGTTCATTTTTTTTTTTTTTACAAAAAAGTCTGTTTCAAAATTCATTTTTTTTTTATTCATTCCAATTCAAGAAAAATATAAAAATAATATAAGTAAAGTTTGTTCTAAAATCTACGTTGGCACTGATTGAAAAGTAATTTTAAAGTTAAATAAACCAACCAATGTTAAAAAGCTTCGTAATAAAATGATGCTAAATCATTAATTAATTTAGCACCTAGTCTCAAATTAAAAAAAGTTCTTTTTTTACGGAAGTAAAAATTTCCTGTAGAATTGCGTTTCAGTTACAATCACACAATTCACCAAGATCTATTGTCAGATTGAATTTTAGAGCAAATTAAAACAAAAAGACTTTTCCACCAAGTCTAGTCAAGATAAATCCTCAAGACGTGTGCGTTGTAAAACGCCAACTTGTCGCATGTATTAAAAATAAAGCCTCAACGCGACGGGGTGGTCTCTCAAGTGAAATAACATCAAAACGCAAAAAACAATGTGCCCGAGGCGATTGAATGCTCGGAACTGGTTTTAAACACGAGAGCACGCATTAAATGTTTTTCAAAATAAAACGAGTGAATTAATTTTACCGGAATGAAATCTGGCAGGCCGTCGGGAATGTTGAGCTGCGCGATTTCTGACTTGAGCTTCTTCCGGTGGTTTGGCTTCTTGATTCCGATTGCAGTCAAGTCCTGCGAAATTTTATCACGATTAGGCTCAGGTTACTTTTGTCGCCGAGAGGTGCTGTGACGGGTGAAAAGAAGTGAAAAATTAAACTCACCACTGGAGTCATTCTGGCGACCATCGCCATGTCATAGCCGGCGTTGGCGAACAACGGAAAGTATTCCTCAAAATGCAAATCCATCAACCAAGCGTGCATTGCATCCTGGTCCTAAAAATTCAAATTTTGTTATAAGATGATAAGAAATATTAAGGAATATTTGAAAGTATATAATTTCATGTGACATGCTAAATTTCAGATTGGACAAAATTCGGTGTGGTAAAAATGTAAAATGCAAAACATTATTTTCCTGTCTTCTCGCAAAATAAATAATATAAATTCAGTTTCACGCATTTTAATTCATCTTAATCATCATCACATCATCAAAAGTGTCAACTCACCGAGCATTGGGATGTTAAATTTGATGTTAAACATAATTAATTTTTCACTAAGATGTAAATAGTGCGCACAATTTATAATGATTAGGAAAAAACTAATTATATAATTACAATGAATTACAAAGAGTTTCAAAAAAAGCTTTAATTTAAATAAAATACCTTGACAAATACAATACAAACAAATTATTAAACATTTGCTAAAAAATAATACATTAAAAATAATATTAAGTATCAAAAGTTATTAAATCAAAGAAATTAATAAAAAAAAGCTTAAAAATTAAGATTGCTACTTTTATTTAATTAAGTATGTATGTTATCATAAAAAAGTTCTCAGACAATGAGCTGAAGATGAAATAACAAAAAATAAAAAAGCTAATTTTTAGATTAAAAATAGAGCAAATCAATAAAAACCCAACTTTATTATGAACCGTGGAATAAAAGAGAAAATTAAATTCCTTTTACAAGCTGCAAAGGTTTGGAATTTTATTAATCTCGTGCCAAAAACATCGCCCTGTTCTATTGATTTCCATAAACCAGATTCTCCGAAAGCAATAACGCTTTCGCAAGAACGCCCGCGGCACCGCCAGCGCAAGGAGCAATTTACTCGAATTTTATTTCAAAAGCGCCACCGTCTTTTCTTCAGACGACGGCGCTACTCATTTTACTTTTTTTTTTCAAATATACTCTCACTCGATCGCATCCTCTTTGCAGCGCAAAGTTCAAGGGCGGTCGACGAAAATGATATTCGCGCGTGTATATTTTCATGATTCATGCCTGGGAGGATCGAGTTTTATTTTTGTTGTAAACCCGCTGCTATTAATATTTATGCAATAGAAACGGCAGAGATTTATTTCCTCAGCAATGCCTCAGCACGCGGCATTGTTGTCCCTCGATATATAATTACGTCACAGAGATGCGAAATTTACAGCTCCAGAGACGATTACTGCGCACCTTTAATTTGTGTACCGATTTTCCAAGCAAGTAATTGGCGGCTTCCGAGATTGATTTATGAGAGACGATTAAAAAATGGCAGAGATATTATGCAAAATGAATATAAATATTGTGTTTTATCTTCATTAATTAAATTAAAATAAATACCCAAAATTTGAATTTTTTTCATATTGATAATTAGACAGACAAATCACCCAAAAAATTAACCAGCTCCATATTTCTATGGATAATATTTACTCTAAAAAACAAGACAAAAAAAATTTTGTAGCAAAAATTAAATAAATTCATCTCATTTGTGAATATTTTCAACCTACAAATTATTAAGAAAAATATCAAAAATCAACTTAGTTTATTGTTATAATTCAAAATTTGCACTTACTGGAACGCCCTGCTTAAGGAGTCTTTCAACCCTGGCGGCGGCGGTGGCGTGATCGCTTCCGATGGACGACGAGGAGAGGGAACATCTTGGACTGTCCAGCATTGAGGACCTGGTGGCGTTTGTTGGGCAGGGCAAGTATCCTGAGGCGCGTCCACTGTCCAAGCTGGCCGTGCTGTGGCGACATCCGCCGCTGCTCGAACCAGACCCTGAAGATCCGGGACTATCTCTTCCAGGACTCTGAGGATAAAATAGAAAAATTAGCGGAAATTGTTTTATAAAAAGCTAAGGCAAACTAAAGCATTTAAAAAAATGTATATATAATATGACTTAAAACTTATTTCTAAATTGTTTTAAGATCATTATATTTTAATTTCTGTGTTTTTTATGTATTAATGAATTTTTTTACAATATTTAAATAATTACTTGTACAATGCAATGATTGAGAAGACGAAGTAGAAAATATCGATCCTTTGCGGAAAGCACATTAATTAGCAATGCAGTCAAACAAATTAAATTAACATTTAAATATTATATATTTCAATTATATTATAAAAAGATTACACGGGTTATGTTTGTTTTAATATTGAGTTTTCAACAAAAATGAGTTTTTAAATCAAATAATTAAAATTAATGTAATACAATGCTTATAAATCATTAAAAATAAAAATGCGTAACGCAAAAATTTTAATTAAAAATTTTTAAGTTTTTTTTAATACTTTTTATAAAAACTTTATTGATACATTTCTAATATTCAACACATTTTTCTATCTTTTTATTCAAGGCAGGTACGCCAGGTACAAAAGTGAGGGGGTCCGTACGCGAACACCCTTTTCCTCTCCAAATGCGCTTATCTATGACGGATCTATTGCGCTTTTAAAATGTGTAAAACATAGCGCGGCCGGAAAAGGACAATAATACACCAGGGGGGAGAATTAAAATTCACGCCGTGCGGTTTGAACAATTATGCACGAGAGGCGGTTAATTGCCACTTTTATTTCATCCACGGAGATGCGCGGGCACGCAGGCCGTATAAAGTTTTGGCCCGAGAAGAAAGACTCGCGCGTTGTTTGTTTGTTTTTATTTTATTATTCGAGGGAAGCACGTGCTAATACGCAAGTTTTCGCCGCCGCGTTAAAAATTATTACCAGCGCGATGATTTTAGTTATTTTCTCTGCAACGCTATTTTTCAGGGGTTGCGCGAAATGACCGCGTTGTAAAAATTAACTACCGGCGCAATTTCCGCACCTGCTGAACGGCGGGGAAACGCAGAGGAATGTGCTGGAGTGAAAAAAAAGATTAAAATTGTGCGTATTTACCTGAGTCATGTCGATGCCCTGGTCCTCTTGCTGGTGGAAGAAGGACGCTTTGGCCGCCGTGTGCGCCGACAACTGCGTGAATTGCTGAAAGCAGAATGAAAATATGAGCCTGAAAAATCTTGAAAGCGCAGCAAAGCGAGCGAGTGACATTAAACACCGAACCCCCCATTCAAAGCAAGGGAAATCGAAACACGACACTTTCATCCTCAAGTTATTTTTCAGTGTTTGACGCCAACGCGAGGAAAAAATGACCAATTATGCAATGAGGAATAATTTTTCTTAACATTATTTGAATTTAAATTTAAAAATACTGTTGTGCTTTGAAAAAAAAAAAATCGCTTTAGATTTTGTCTTAAAAGTGCATCAATTTTTACAATTTTCTTGCTTCATACATCTCCATAAGAAGAGAACATCAAATCAATTTCAAAATAAAAACTGCAATAATCACAAGTTTATTGAAGAAAATACTTGTCTGTTACGTAATTTCTAGAACAGGGAGATTAAAAAAAGTATAAATTATTTTCCAAATGAATAATAACGTTTCAACAATTAAAAATGAAATTTCCTTGTTGACTGATTTTTATTCCGTTCAACTTTACTAGAATGAAATCAGGGACAACAATCAAATCAAGTTTGTTTTGCTGGATTGAATTGAGAAAGAATTGATTAGATTTGCATTCGCATGTCATTCATATTGACTTCTTACTTTAAAAAGAAGTCTCAGAAAATGTTTTCATTAATTATTATAGTAATAGGAAATGATTGATGTAATTTATGCAACCTGCAGAACAGAATATCTCAATTCCTCAAGCTTAAATTTAATTTACTGAGTTTGATCAGGAAGCATGATTTTTGCTATTTGATAGAACAATGCAATCAGATTGATAATCTAGAGAGCAAAATTAAAAATTAGAAAGAATTGAAAAAATTAAGCATTTTTGCGTAATTATCTTTATAATAACCATGAAATTTAGAGTACTTGAATTTAAGTTGTAAATTTTGTGCTAAATTTTGTTTCCTGGTTAAAATCCCAATACGATTTTCTCAGAAATTGGACTTTTACAAGCAATAAGGAAAATTAATATAGATTTAAACAAATCCTAATAATCACTAATGCACCAATAAATCAAAATTAATTTGACCCTTTTTTATAATGCAATAAAACAAAGAATGGCTCTCAAGCCATAAACATTTTCGAACAAAAAATAAATCCTTCCAGGAAGGATGGCCGGTAAAAACTGCACAACATCTCGTATTTTAATCCTTTCGTAGCCCAAGGAAAATTTTCCGCCGGCGCCGAGAGAAGAGCAAGCGCAGCTGTGAGGTAAAAACTGACCTGGGGGCCTGGAAAAGTGAAGGCCGGATAGTTGAACTGGGCGCCCGGCGACTTTCCCTGGATGCCGGCGAACGCAGGGTCTCCTGGTCCCGAGTGCGGCTCTTCTGCAAAGAAAAGGGCCTGGTTAGTGGCAGGTGGTCACTCCTCGGCAGGTCAGCGTGCCAGACGCGGCGGCCGGGGTGGCGCTACCACCACCTACACGCCAAATTAATGCAAGGTTGTCCGAGCAGCAATGAAAACGCGGCGAGGCGGAGAGAGAAGATTTCTTCTTCTTCTTCGCGATCAAGGACGAACGCGAGTGAGTTTTGCGCGGAATAATTTATCGCGGTTCGATTTTCGTGCGAGTGGGCTCTTTTAACGGTGCCAACCTTCTGCATTTGGTGATCGCCGATTAATTTTATTTTCTAGAGTGGGACCTTTAATTTGTCTTCAATTTATGGTTTTTCTTTTTTTTTTAAGGAGATAATACCTTTTTAAAGTTATTCCTTTTAAGGACTCTTAATAGGCACAGTCAAATCAGGTAATTACAACAATGGTGATTAAAATTTCTAATTGTCTTCCAACAATCGCCAAAGCTGTTTCTATTGTCGTGAGGACTTAATTCGAGTATGTTAATAAGGAGTCCTTAATGTATGAAAAACTGATCGCAAATAAAACATAAAAGTTAGTCTTTTGAAAATTTATTTTTCAATACAAAATCCAACTTTATGGGAGTGTTTTAGTTGAAGAAATACCAAATTAATACAATTTGAGAGCCAATGTTTCAAATTTAAAAACATTAGAATTACTTTTTACTCGGCAGTCTGCGTATTGAAGTTATTGAACGAATTAAGTTATTACATTGCATGCAATAATCTGTTACTTAATTTTTGAGGTTTTTGAAGTACATCATCGTACACATTAAATAATCTTTTTTATTGATATTGAATTGTTTGAGAGACTATATACTTTTTATGAATATTTTATTTATAATTATATTAGAAATTAAATTGAAATACCTAATTACTAATTATGTCATCGCAGATGATGTAGAAGGCAGCTTTATAACTTTCATTCTCATGATATAATTATTGGTTATAAATTATATATACAATTATAATCATGCAGCTCTACAAAATTTGGTTGTGGAAATTTCATTAAAATTTCTAGTTTTATGAAAACATTGCAAGAAAAACTAAAAATTAGATAAATAAAAAACAATAATATTTAAATAGCCAAAATTGAAAAACAAGTGTTTTAATAAATCTTTAAAAATTATAATTATATCTAAATTGAATATATTTTATAAAGAAACATATACATTATAACATTATGAGTTTTACGATTCTTTTAAACTAATATCAGTAAAAGAAGGAACCTGCCATGGTTTTGGTGCAAATTGAATATAGACAAGCTTATTTCCCGAAGGCACGTGACCAATTTGTTTACCTCATTACTATTTTAGGTTAGTAGTGCGGCTGCGGCGGCATCAACCGAGAAATGCTTCGGAGGCCTGGAAATTTCCCCGGCACCTTTTATTTTCTTCCCTTTTGTCTTGTCAAACTCGCACGCCCACGAAAGGGCGCACGCACTCGGTTGGTTTCCAAGACGAAAACAAATTGCTTCTCCACGCAAGAGAAAGAAAACAAATATTTGACTCAGGAAATTAGGCAACGAAGCAATTTGAACGTCAAATATACCACCCTATTTGAAATCTCACCGCAGCAAAAACGATTCGTGCGCGAAAAAAAAATAAAGGTAAAAATAGTAGCAAATGAGCCGAAAAGCTGCTTGTTCTGTTTTTTTTTCTTCTTGGGTTGTTGCCCGAGCTGACTTTTCCGTCAGGGCTTCTTTCGGCAAAGCGATTATCAGACTTTCACGCACCCCTTCATCCCCAGGTTACGAAAACGCGTGTGCGTTTCTGTCTCTGGTCTGTAATAACTTGATCCTATTAATTTGCCGCACGCCGGGAATCACAAATTACAAATCGGTCGACCAGAGTCAGGTGTGGCAGTGGAACTGGAATTACACCCGCTGAGCTCATTTGTCTCCACGTTAAATGGAAACACGAGAATAGATAGACCCGTATTACTTTTTTCCGTCAACTAAATGCTCGAGCATGAAGCAACTCTCAAGTTTGAATCGGACAAAAATTAGAAGATTTATACCGTATTTCTTAATCAGTTAAGTAAACTTAAGCTTTGAAAAAAGCAAGTAAACATTTTATAGTTAAATATAAAATATATTATTTAGTCAAACGGGCCAAAATTAAGGGCAAAAAAGTCTCAAAGAGATTCATTGTGACCCTTTTTCAGTTTAATTCATCGATTTATTTTTATTTTAATTGAGAATAAATATCCTCAAGAAGATTTTTTTTTAAATTTTTTTGTTTACATCAGTAAATATTTTATAGTAAATCTTATTTAAAATCAAATGTTTTCCCAAAATTATTAAGAATCATAATCAAATCAAAAAATTTAATTTGAAACCAGGTTTCAGAAACCTAGCAAAAACAAATGTTGTTATGCAAAAAGAGAAATTGAAAAAAAAAGCTGAAAATGATTTGAATAATATCGTTTCGCAAAAAAATCCGCATTTTTTTGGTCCGAAACAGCATAAATGTGCACGCGTTTGTTTGAAGATAGGGGGTGCTGCGTGCGTAATTAATGGAGGCAACCCCAATGGATCCGGCGCAGTATCCGCTGGGCACTAAAATGCAAATTTATTTAAACAAAGCAACAAACGGGCCAGAGGGCAGTAAAATTTGTGTAGCGTCGCGCATTAAAAGAGCCATCCGTAGTGCCGGGCCATAGATTTTTAGAACGGTGCAGCAGATAAGGCCGGCGAATCACCGACGATTTTGAAAAAGTAAACGCAGCACCGAAAAACATACAAACGCGTCGGGAGATCTATTTTAGATTACATTCAGTCGCAGAGAGTCGGAGGCGGGGAAAGATGCTGGGATTGTTTTCGAAACGCACCTTGCATTCATTTTATTTTAATTCGTTACCTCGTAAACTGGGGTCCGGGGGCGGCAGAAAGCAGCCATCCTCGCTGCTGCTGTAGCCCGCCGAGCCAAAACTGCTCCCGGAATGGCGGTAGACTTCAGGTACGGACGGCGGGGCCACCTTTTTCACCTGGGCCGGCTGCTTGTTCGGCGGCCGACTCATTCCGCCCACTGAAAAACAAGAGAAAAATTTGCATTTTTAAAAACCGCTACGCATGACAGAGAGAAAATTCGTGAATTTATTACGCAAAAAAGTGGTCTCGGCAGAAAAAAAAAAGAGGGAGATTGTATTTAGTTAAAATTGAGCAAGAGCGCATAAATTAGAACAGGGTTTAGATTAAATTTAAAAATCTTTTTCGTCACCAACATAATTATTTTTTACAATTCCTTTTTGCCTTTTTAAAATTAAATAATATATATCTAATTTTCTTTTAAAGAGGTTCACCGAGTAGTGCATTTTAAATTTGCGGCGGGTTTTAACAGGCATTAAAATAAAATGTATGTATGTCCCGGCGAAAAATTATTGCCCGGCGCGCGAGGAGAGAATTTTTTTGTAAATGGCTCATCGCGCCAAAACTCAGTGAACCTTTTGGGGCAACTCCCACTTCGGCCACGTTCAGCCAATCAGGAAGAGCCGAGCAAGTGGTAGTGCTTGGCAGGCCGCTGGCAGCGCTGCGGGCGCTGCGGCGACCCTGGCCGGCCGGTCAAATAACAATATGGCGACGCGTTTATCTGAAATCGAGTTTTCGACGACAATTTCGGCTGTGTCGGCGGCTAAGCAGACCGTTCGGCCAATATGAAGACGTCTGACGTCGGCCAGAAATTCTTTCCGCGAGTCGTGCTCTCCGCAACGCGTATTAATCTTAGGTAAGCGTGTTCTTTTCGTGTGATATGGGGTGCTTGGAACGAGTGTTACTGATTTTCAATGAATGTTGGGACGGGGAGGCGGTATGGCCAAGGGCCAAGATTTTTTTATTTAGAATTTAAATTGTATAAATATTTATTTCTTGATTTTGTTGGTTGAAACGAGATTAAAAATTTTTTTTATCAGCAGGTAACCGAAAAATGGCCAGAGCGAGAGACTCTCCGAAGTCTCCGACACTGACGGACTGCTCGTAACGAGCTCGGGAAATTTCTTCCCTTCCTTGGGACAAGATCAATCTGGGACGCAACCTTATTTTTGACGCAGTTTGCAGTGAGCTGCTTTTGATTTGCATAGGAGGTGAGCTAACTTAGGATTATTGAAAAATTGGGCGAAAAATATTATTCAAAAATTTGTCTTCTTTTTATTTTTGAAAATCAAGCATTATGAAGTTATGTATTTATAATATTAGATATTTTTTCCTTTATCTAAAACTTCATTGCCATTTGCAGTTCTCCAGTGCAGCGCTTGGAAATGGACCGACAGACACAACCTTGAAAAATCAGCCTGATGTTGAAATCTGCGACACCACCTCAGCCTCCTTGACCAGCTGATGTGCAAAGAGAGGAGAACACCATCAGCTGTCAATGTGCACATCAAGATTAGAACTATAATTTGGGGGCTTTTGTTTCTGTAGGATCATGCATAGCACACAGGGTTATTGTGTACAAATCGTAATTGTAAATAATTTTATTGCATACGAGCCTTGATGAATAAATATTGTTTATAATAACATTAATTTATTTACATAATGTGACTGTATATTATACTGAATATAAATTCCCCATTTTATGGAAAAATTTGTTCTTATTTTCAAAAATTTTATATATTATGTGTCGCCAAAACACACATGACTTTAGATTATGTCATTTCAGTAGACCTCCGAAAGATGTTTCTGCTTATTTTCTTTTTCTTTTTTTTTATGACTTGAGCACAATAAACGTAAATAAAAATTATATTTTTAGTGTAATAAACAATGCAGGTGAGATTTCAATATCATTTTTATAAATAACAAGTAAATTCAAAATACACAAGATTCTCTTGGAGATGCATGAACTCCAACTAGAAAAGAAACTCATACAAAAAAACAATATTACATCAAGGCTCGTATGCAATAAAATTATTTACAATTACGATTTGTACACAATAACCCTGTGTGCTATGCATGATCCTACAGAAACAAAAGCCCCCAAATTATAGTTCTAATCTTGATGTGCACATTGACAGCTGATGGTGTTCTCCTCTCTTTGCACATCAGCTGGTCAAGGAGGCTGAGGTGGTGTCGCAGATTTCAACATCAGGCTGATTTTTCAAGGTTGTGTCTGTCGGTCCATTTCCAAGCGCTGCACTGGAGAACTGCAAATGGCAATGAAGTTTTAGATAAAGGAAAAAATATCTAATATTATAAATACATAACTTCATAATGCTTGATTTTCAAAAATAAAAAGAAGACAAATTTTTGAATAATATTTTTCGCCCAATTTTTCAATAATCCTAAGTTAGCTCACCTCCTATGCAAATCAAAAGCAGCTCACTGCAAACTGCGTCAAAAATAAGGTTGCGTCCCAGATTGATCTTGTCCCAAGGAAGGGAAGAAATTTCCCGAGCTCGTTACGAGCAGTCCGTCAGTGTCGGAGACTTCGGAGAGTCTCTCGCTCTGGCCATTTTTCGGTTACCTGCTGATAAAAAAAATTTTTAATCTCGTTTCAACCAACAAAATCAAGAAATAAATATTTATACAATTTAAATTCTAAATAAAAAAATCTTGGCCCTTGGCCATACCGCCTCCCCGTCCCAACATTCATTGAAAATCAGTAACACTCGTTCCAAGCACCCCATATCACACGAAAAGAACACGCTTACCTAAGATTAATACGCGTTGCGGAGAGCACGACTCGCGGAAAGAATTTCTGGCCGACGTCAGACGTCTTCATATTGGCCGAACGGTCTGCTTAGCCGCCGACACAGCCGAAATTGTCGTCGAAAACTCGATTTCAGATAAACGCGTCGCCATATTGTTATTTGACCGGCCGGCCAGGGTCGCCGCAGCGCCCGCAGCGCTGCCAGCGGCCTGCCAAGCACTACCACTTGCTCGGCTCTTCCTGATTGGCTGAACGTGGCCGAAGTGGGAGTTGCCCCAAAAGGTTCACTGAGTTTTGGCGCGATGAGCCATTTACAAAAAAATTCTCTCCTCGCGCGCCGGGCAATAATTTTTCGCCGGGACATACATACATTTTATTTTAATGCCTGTTAAAACCCGCCGCAAATTTAAAATGCACTACTCGGCGAACCTCTTTAAAGAGCAGTGTTTTTTTTAATAAATGAAAAAGGTTTTAATTATAATTTTTGTTTTTATTTACAGAACAATATTCTAGTTTGAAATAAAATTTGTATTTAATATATAAAGCTTGGGTGGAAGATGTTGATAATGATTTGCACTTGAATTTGTTTTAAGAGGCCTAAAATTGTCAATAAAAAGAGTTAATCTGAGACTAATTCAATGCAAATTCACAGATTCCATTATATCTGATGTACTTTTTAAAATTGAAATAAGAAAAATGCGCTTTTTATATTGAATACCAAAAGAAACTTTTAATTCAGTCTAAATAAAACCAGTAGCACACTTAAAAATTTATTAAAAAAAAAAATCACAAATATATTATGCTATATACTGTATATTTAAGCTTAAACTAGACATCTATTTTCTGGCCAACAGGTAAAAAAATAATATACTATGCTTTCCTAGCCTAATCAGGTCACAATTTCCTGCAAAAGCTATTTTCTTCTCACTTTTTCATCATTTCAGAGTCTTTGTAATTTTCTTTTTCTCATCATCCGGAGGCGAGAAGAAGTGCCGGGAATCAAGAAAAATTGCTTCTCATTTCCCTGATAAAACAAAGGAGAGAGATGATGAATCACGGCAGGGTGCAATCAATATTATGCATCTCTCGTGTGTGTGCAGCACGTGTTCATATTTATAAAATCTCTCCTGCGGGGCGTGTTTTGTTTTTGCCCTCCGTTCCGGCGCGGATGAAGATTAATAATAAGAGCATCGCAGGAAAAAGTTTGCACTGGGGTTCATTTTTCCGTTTTTTCTGCTCCTCCTCTCTCATGCGAGCTTTTGCTCTTTTTGAATTTACAACGCAAAGAGGAAAAGCATTTTTCATTCTTTTTCTTTCTCATCAGCCCCTGCTGCTTTCGCCGGTAAAAAAACGCACTTGACAAGTTTAAATTATACATGGCGACGGAGGGAAGTGTATTGACTGATGTCGCGTGCGAAATTGGCGAGGTGACGAGACTTTTTTAATGAGAATGGATAAAAAACGGCTGTGACGAACGCAAAAATAAAATTGAATTCAAAGGCTCGGGTCAGTGAATCGAAAACGGCAAGAGTGAAAAAGCGGCAGGGGGAGGAGCAGCCGACCGAATTAAATTTTCACCCTTTATGCCGCAGAGCAAATATGAAAAAATTGCCGCGGGCTGTATTTGGAAGAGGGAAAAACCAAAACAAACTTGGTTTGGTTTTTCGAGAAAGGGAAACGGGGAAGGAGGAGCATTATTTTCTCCCCTTTAATTGCGAACATTGTCACTGCAACCCTTTGTTATTTTGAGGAAAAAAAATTTCTGAAATCAGATCCGCAGCAGAATTAGGCGGAGTGTTTGATTTCACGGGCCGATAAAGTGTCCCGCAGCCGCACAAAAGGCAGTAATTCACGCAGATTGCTTTGGGGAAAAAAATCGGGAGAGTATCAAATTTCAAATAATGGGACAGATTTGGGATTTACTCACTCTTAAAATTTGAGCAAAACTTTGTAAGAAAAAGATCATTATATTTTTATATACACAATTTAAAAAGGTAAGCTGTAATTTTATTTTAATAAAATGTCAAGAAATTTATTTTAAAACATTATTTTTTGTTTTATTTTTTTAAAGTTATTATAGATTAAATATTTGTATTCGCAAAATATTTTTAAACTAGCTAGAAAATTTTAACTGTACACAAAATTAGGCATTGAATTTGTATTTGTATTTGCAAAATATTACTTTAACTTTATCATTATCAGCAATGGTGATTTACCTTCATGACGGTTGTTTTAAATTATTATTTTAGATTAATTTCATGATGTTATATTGTTATTTATCCAGAAATGCAAGAAATTTCTTAATCGTTAATAATATGTTCGATTTTATTTCTTATAAGAATTTTTCAAGCATTAGAAAAGAAGCCAAATTGCTCCACACACAAAAAGTAGGGCAACGTCCTCTAGAGCCAGATTGCTCCAAGCAGGAAACGTTTGTCGCGCCAGAGGCGAGAAGAGGAGCTTTTCTATATGCATTCGGCGCGAAAATAATGACAACAAAACACCTTCGGGCGACTCACTCTTGTTGGCACTCTGTATTGTTGCGAAAGAGATCAAAAGACAACAGCCGCGCGTTTTGTGATTCAAGTCTCGCTGACCGGCAGCCGAGCGGAGATTTTTGTCTTCAAAACGAATCTCTCGGTTGGACCAAAATGAAATCAGGCGGTTGGGACAGGAATTTTTATGAGCACCACGGATCTATTTTTGAGGGAAAAAGCGAGAGAAAGGTGTCAACCTCGGGGCTGCGGCATAATCATCAAAAGTAATCGGCACTCTGATGGACTGCGACTCTGGGGAGAGAACACGGGCGAGGGAGGACTCGGGAAACACTCAACTTTACAAGCCGACAACGAGGTGAAGTAGAGAGGTATAAAGATAGGAATTTTGAATTCCATTTTTTTATGAATAAAAAAATAATCTATTATTCAAATGTTGTGATTGCTACCAACATTTCTATCGTAAAACTTGATTCAAAATTGACTTCTCTGTTTTCTTTATCAACGCAGTTTTTAGTTCCACTATAGGATTTATATGCGCAAGCCATTAACAAATGCAAAAAATCTCAAAGATTAATTAACTTAAAAAGCTGAAAAATTTCAAACATTTAAAATCGGAAAACGATTTTTTTCTTTTCTCAATAAATTTGATTTTTTTTTCACAAAAATAAAGCCTGTAATGTATTTTTTTAATAAATTCAATTCATACAACGGCTAAAAGCATTTTAAAATTTAGATATGGGAGCTTGAAATGGCCAAAATCACGTCATCATTATAGCAGAATAAATGGATAATGTCAAATGACTAAATTTTTTACTGAAAATTTTTGCATTAAGATAAGGCGCTTGAATTATAAAAAAATTGCTTTTCGTGATCGCAAGCTCCATTCTGCGATCTTGTCCAATACTACAATGAAACTTATTGCTAATGAATTGAGAATCTTATTAAAATGAAATGGGTACAAAGAAAAGCTTGCAATAGATTTTTTTGTTGAAATATAGATTGTAATATATTAATGAATTTATCACTTCGCTTATTATAAGTAATAATTTTTTTGTTTTAAAGAACAAAGAGAGGAATTATTGAGATTTTTTGACAATTAATTAAAATTCAAAAAATAATATTAAATAAAAAAAATAATAAAATATTAAAATTCTCCCATTTGCTATTAAAAGGATTATTTAACAATTTTATATATAAAAATGTATAAAACAAACGTAATTAAAATTTCAGTTTAATAGATTAAACTGTTTTTGAGTCTCTCTAACACATGTTCTCTGTCAAGTTTTCGGACTGGGGGGGATGCGTCCCTCTATTTCTCGTAAAGAGATGCACATTCATTTGGGGCAGCGCGTGTGCACCTTGATGGCGCGGCGGCCGAGAGCTGCTGCGTGTGTGTCTGTTTATTTAATCACATCAGCCAGAAAGCTGGGCCGTAAAACATGACGAGCCGAAGAGAACCCCGGGAGCAAATGGAAACGGACGAGTCCCTGCCCGCACCAAGTTGGTTTCGCTGCTCCCGTTTGTTTTGCCGGTGCGCTATTAAATAAATTATCAACGCTTTGAACTGGAAGCTGCATTTGCAAGTCGAGGCCTAACTCGATTTCCAGCAGGAGAGCCGAAATCAAATTACAGCCGGGCCAAGTTTGCGCTGTTAATGGTCTATAAACACGCCGGGCTGTTATTTTTTATTCACCAGCCGGCGAAACTTCTCTCCATTTTTCAGCGCGCCGACTGTAATTTTGGTCCCTGCTGGGCTTGCATAATTTTTCTTTCTTTCTTTCCTTGCTGGGCGAGGTTTTGTGTAATTCTTGCCCGGGACAACACAAAGTGCAGCACAATAGATCATTGAAACAATTAGAAAACGAGGCGACTCGGAACATAAAGGGTGTAAAAAATATGAGCCCAGGTCCCACTAGGCATGTTGTTTTAATCTCTTTAATGTCGGAAATTTGTATTCTTCTTTCTCCCTTCGGTTCTCTTCCTTTTTTTTCCAACAAGAGAAAAGAGGTAAAAAAAGAAAGAAAACATTATTCATATCAGAGAAGACGCTCCGTGGGGTGAAGTTGCGCCTCCAGAGAGACAAAGGAACAAAGGTGTGTAAGCGAACAAACTCTTTCTCTTTTTGAGAATCGTATAATTTCGTGCGTTTGTCTCTCTACCTGACAATGGCAATTTCGGTACACTGGTGTCTAATAAGGGAAATTTTATTAGCCTTTGTCTCATTTGTTCTCGCAAGGGGATTGAATAATATTCAATTGACTATGGCACAAAAAATTAAATGGAAAGTATTAATTTAAGAAATGTTCTAGCAACAATTTAAAAGACTTTTCCACCGGCCTAATTTTAATTAAAATCTCGAGAGATTATAATCAAATATTAATGAGTCCGCACAAAAAACCTTTTGACGCGGTGAGTACACATAAATATGCAATAAATTGAAACCACGGTAATTAATGAATCAGTGTCACATCAAAGGAAAACAAACAAACAAATTTCTCCCCTGTGTAAAATGATAAATAGTTTCTGGCGAATCATTATTCAAGTGTCACGTCGACAAACATTGGATAAAATAATTACTCCGGCAGCTGCTGCAAATTTTCAGATTTTCTATAACTTTTAAATTTGCGGTTGATTTCCTTCTCGGTTTCCAGATGCATTTACTTTTTTTTGTCATTCAGTCCGTAGGCGGTGAACACGGCGAGAGGAGAGAAGGGCGTGTGCGGCATTTATAATCAGACGTCTATTGTGTGCGGGCGCGCGAGTGCAACAGTTTATGTTCTCTGGCAGGAGAATAAGAAAGAGAGAACGTTTCTTTCGGGTAACAAGGGTGCCAAGATATGGCCATTTGAGTTATTATTATATGTGGTAGGTTTTCCAGCAGCAAGGTGTGAGAAGCGAGATTTATTGAAAAAAGAAAAAGAGCTGCTGCCGTGGGGACGACCGTGCGCGAGGCAGACACACAAGAGGGGATAATTTATTGGGAAAGCTAATGGCTTTTAAGTGCACGTTGCATTTTCGAATGCGAGCAGGGGAGGCTGGGTTTTCTTTGAAATGAACACCAACAGAAAAAATTTGAAGTGGTGTGGGGTAAAAAAAAGTGACTTTTAACCGAAAAAAAGGAGCTTCATTGTGGTTTTGAGAGGCTGTTATTAGATCCGTAAACACATAAATCAGTTTGGATTTGAATTTTTTATTCTTTTCAAATTGTTGAGAAGGGACTGTTTTTGAGAAGGGACTGTTTATTATTATGGTTTATCCGGGTTTATCCATATCAGTTTTCACATTGATTTTTAGACTTCATAAAATTTCATTTAATATAAGAATTAAAAATCCCAAATTCATTCCATGAAATTACAAAATGTGTCATTCTTTTTCAAAATTATTTTATTATGAAGACCAATTTTTTTTTCGAATTTTATGAAGAAAATCAATAATTGACTTTTATGTATAAAAAAATGCATTCATGTTTTTTTAAAGAACATAGTTTTACTTTTTTTCATGATTTCACAATAATTCCTATAAAATTCAATCAAAAATATTTTGTTTTCAAGAAATAATCTTTATTGTTTCATCTTATAGGAAATAATTTTTTAGAGCAAATAAAATATTATGTAAAATATATTGAATTTTAATAAATTTTCATATAATTCGAAACGTGATTAATTGTAAACTTTTTTAATATTATCAAATTTTACCTCATGACTTTTTCAACTAAAATTTAATGCAAAAAGTTTCAGTCTTTTCCCCAGAAAGAAAGGACTTTTCAACAGTTTAATTATAAAGTCGACAACGTTCTGTGGAATATTTTACAAATTTTATGTCACTTTTGCACAGCGAGACATCTAAAAATAATCCCTGGCTCTTGTGATGTTTCTCCTCTTTCATCTCTTCTTCTCCGAGAGCCAAATGGCCCATACCGCACCACCTTACTTTTATATAACCGCGTCTAGTCTCCTTTCTCTCTAACACTTTTTTCAACATTTAAAGTTTTATCAGCACAAAAGCAAGCAGGCCGTGAATGAAGAGCATCAGGTGTATAGTTCGTAAGGCAAATGAGCGCGCGAATTTGATCTTGCTCGAGATCCTATTTTTAGCGCCACTACTTCCTCCCGAGCAAAAAATTAAACAAGTCGGCACAAAAAAGAACGAGAAAGAAAAACTGCTCTGAGAGCCAAGCAGAAGCATCTGCTGGCAGCTTGTTTTTATCATTATCGTCTCAAGACGCTCTCGAAACAATGAGCCTTGTCGCAGAAAGACTCGTACAATACATGGTCTGTTGTATAAAATAATGGCAGACCTTTATCTCCCCGCTTATAAAATGCTATAACCTTGCAATC